CAACAACATGGCAAGCTGTGACAAAATGAATTGGTGAGTGTTGATTACATTTTGTTTCATAACTGTAGTTATTTTTGTTAGCGGGATCTTTGTTTCATCTATCAAAAACCATAACATCCACAGAGCTTTTAATATTTCATTTGGATAATGTCAGATGATTATTCATTTTTGTCACAAGGAGTTAAAAAACTATTACATTAACCTCTTCACTATGGAACACCACTTTAAATACAGTATTTTATTTGGGTAATGCCGGGCGTGAAAGCATTTTTACCAAGTTTGTAAAGTAGAAACTATTTTTTCTAATCATTTGGGAAATTTCCATAGTTCATTCTACCAATCTGAGGATTAGGTAGAGGTGCCCGTCACTCATGGGCCCACACTGGTCACAACTTGTCCACTTTGTATTGTACAGGTTGAAAATGTTGAACAATTACTGTCTTTAAGTTTAAGAAACATAGAGGAATCTTTATTTGGCTCCATAAATGTTTTGTGAAATACATAACAAAACAGTATTGTACAGCTAGTATTAAAAAAAAAATGTTAGCCATGGGGTCAATTTGATTCAAGGCTTTCCGAGCAATGTTACTCTACTTGTTTCTAAACGTTTGGTAGCTATACATCTGTGACCTTTGAGCGTGAATGAATATACAGTCAGTCCTCAACTTACGATGGGGTTAGGGACCGACGACTAGGTTGTAAGTCGAAAATACGAAAATAATACATAGAAAATCTAAAATGGGTGTCTCTTACTCTTCTCAGCACAACAAGAACTCTCACTTTTACGCTTGGCAGCCATTTTAAAGTGAATTAGAAACGAAAATTTTGTCAGTACACAGCGCGATCACTAACGTCGGGACTCGAAAATACATAATTTGAAAAATATTTTATACGACTGCGGCGGTTGTATGTCCGGGTGGTCATAAGTCGAGGAGTACCTGTATAGCAAATAAATAAATACTGTACAGTATGTAGTCCCCACAAAAAAGTATCGTTATATTTTCCGTCACTACAATTTGTAACTCAAGACAAAATACTTTGATATGATCCCCAGTGCTTCCTCATAAGTTGGTATGCATGCTTCCCATATCAGCAACAGCTAAAGAAGGGGGTAGGATTGGGGGAAGGAGTCATCCTTGTAGGCATAGTACAGGTACTTCAATATAGTAACAAGAAATCCATTAAGACATAGGTAAACAAGCCATTGACTGATGTTTACAATACATTAAATGAAAATGTTTTGAAACATCGTAACCGAGACAGACCTCAAAACAGACATTCCACCATTAAGTCGTTGTAGTAACAGAATTTCATTCATACTGAGTTTCACAATATGCCTACTCATGTTGTTCACATTATGTCTGATTTATGAAAAGTGACTTAACAAGTAGCACCTGATATTCAAATGAGCAGCTACAGCAACGTACAATATATCGGTCTACTGTACATGGAATCAGCCGTGTAACACCAAAATAAAGTTTCAAATAAAGACTTGCAGGCATTTATGGTTGTAAGTGTCAGTGTGGCAGCAGTTGTTTCATGGCACCTAACCCATCGTGGTACTGTGGCTTCGCTCACCCCAGTTCAACGTGTTATCTGTGTTATGTATGCCTCTCACACCTTGCTATGTTTTCCCGGTCATTCTTCACTCCATCAATGACATGGTGTCCATTTACAACATCCACTCAGAGTCAAGTAATACTGTACTGTACCCTGTATACAATCTGAAGCCTTCGAAGATTCACACTGTTCGAAAACTTACACTGTACAGGTACTCCTCGACTTACGACCACCCGGACATACGATCGCCGCAGTCGTATAAAATATTTTTCAAATTACGTATTTTCGAGTCCCGACGTTAGTGATCGCGCTGCGTACTGAAAATTTTTTTGTTTGTCATTCCCTTTAAAATGGCTGGCAAGCGTAACGGTGAGAGTTCTCATGTTTCTGAGAAGAAAACGAGACCCATTTTAGATTTTCTATGTATTATTTTCGCATTTTTGACTTGCGACCTGGCCGTCGGTCCCTAACCCCGTCGTAAGTCGAGGACTGATTGTACAGTATATGCTTTTTTACCTATTTGTTTTGATACCTATTTCACAAAACATCTTATACCACATACTGTACACTCTTCTTATAAAAAAGGTAACTGTCAAATGCTTTAAATTGTCTAGAGCTGCATAGGTTGTCCTGTTATACAGTCTATTGTTAAGTTGATTTCATGTTAAAAATCCTTGTAATGATCTGTACTGAGCAATTAGTACCCTTGTGTGTTTTGAATGTCTATTGAAATGATTGTGGAAAATAAGGGTTCCAGATCATTACTAGAGATATTTGATACAATCTCTATGGATATCCTTGTTTAATGTATAGATCCCGTGGGTGGTGGAGTTAAGGGAGAGTGAGTGTTGACTTAGTGTGCCCCACATTGACATTACAACAACATTACATTTGTTTCAAGACTATGGTAGATTAGATGTGATATGGCTGTATCATGTGACTCAACAAAATGAACCAATTGGAGCTTTCCTTACTAAAAATCAACCACAAGATATGTTTACTTGGGTTAGTTTGTGTATTCTGAAATGCATACAGTAGTTATTTATGTGATTTTACTTTATATTTATAGTTTCACATTCAATTAGGTCTTGTTGCCCCCACGGGAATTACATCCTCTGTTATAAAGCAAACATAGCATAGGGTATATGTAAAGTCTTTGTTTATCGTAAGGTTTTCATTCTGGAAAACTCGTGCGGTAATATGCATTTAAGTAGTGTGGGGGGGCTTCTCTATGCTGAATAAAGTTGTCTTTCATTAGTCAAATAAAATATTAAAAATTACATCCCTAGAGTGAAGGGGTTAACAGAGTGGGATGTACGTATTCCTGGCTGGGACCACGAGGCTTCTGTAAAGTGGATAATTGCATGAAGTCTACTGTACTGTACTACTCTATTACAGTACAGTATAGCATCCCTGTAATAAACCAGAGTACAGCATTTGCATTAGTTTGTGTTTTATAAATACCGTATACCTGTATGCTAACGTATTTAATTATTCTCAACACTCACAGTGATAGTCTACAAGTAAACATTCAATACAGGTATCACTCGCTGTATGAATGTTCAGTATTTACTTATACAAATATTCTATACTTACCTTTTTCTCACTACTGCATATGAAAGCTGTTCTCGCTTTTGCGAATATGGGCCGTTAAGGTAATACAGTACTGTATAAAAAAAATTTTATTATTGATTTTTTGTGTTCAGCTCTCGGTTACAGTACAATACCTACCTACAGAAGTTAGGTGGGTTTTGTTGTTGTTTGTGAACTGATTTAATATTTGAAGATACAGTTGACCCTTGCCATTCGTGAGGGATAGGTTCCAAGAAATGACGCGAATAGGTAAAACCACAAATAGCAGCTTATACTACTTTAGTGCACTACTGTATACCTATATCAAACAACTGACCAGCCACGGCAGCACTCATTCAACTTTGTCAGGGTCATCACTGACTTCTGCCTTTTACATTTCACTCCACTAGCACTGACACTAGACAGTCTTTTAGGGACCATTTCACACAGAAACACTAAAGTTTTGAGAGTACAACATGAAATGCTGCATGGGGTGACTCGTTGTGCTGCGGGAAAGGGCTCACAAGCTAGCCACCGTCTGCTTACCGCGAATCATTGAAATCGCGAATCGTAAACTCGCAAATGACAAGGGTCTACTGTACAGTATAGTATTGGGGGTTTCTTGTAGTTAGATACTAAATTGCAGTGGTTAGTTACTAAAATAAAATAAAAATACTGTAATTTGTAAGGTGTTGAATATACTGGTAACACAAGAGCAGTGGCAGTCAGCTGAGATGACCGAGTGGCTGGCATTCGCTGGGAAATCCTACATTTAATGCCCATATCCTTCACTTTAAAAATAGGTTTGTAATAGGAAGAGTTTTCAGCTGTTAAACTTTCTTCAAATTTCCCTAGTGGCAACCACCAGATCATTGCCAGCAGGTAATCACAGCTGACCCAACACTTGCCTGATAAATGTCCGTATTGTGGTGTTAACAGAGTATTGATAAAAACATTTTGAAATTCAGCTGTTAGAAGAGTAATAAGACTTAAATCATCGTGAAATTTACCCCCATTAGTTACAGCTTATACAGTACATTGTGCTGCGAGTGTTTAACAAAAAAAAAAAACTAGAAGCAGTGGAATCTTTTTGCAGGTAATGTCTGTACTTTTTTCCATATTTCATGTAGATCCAAATGTAAGTGTTGGATACAAAAATGGAAGAATAACGTTGGGGCAATTGTTTCTCTTGTTTCTCTCATTCTTTCATTCTCTCACACTGAGTTTCTCATTCAATATTTCGACATCTTTCTGCGTACTGTTTTACCCTCCCCATAGCCCGTGTAAAATATCTAATTCTCTCCTAATACACAGTAAGAGTTTCCCCGTATACCATGTCTGACCTAGTTACCATATAACCTCGTGTACATCATCAGTTATATATTAAACAAAACCTTAATAATAACTATCTGTATAACTGTCTTTATTTGTTACTGTTCTTTAAAGGAATTTCTATAGTTTGTTGTTAAATAAGAGAGTAATAGGTTGAGGTTGTGTGTCAGTGGGGGAGATGGGGGGAGGTAGGAGGGGAGATGCGTCGTCTGCTACCCCACCTCCCTAACCTCCCCTAACTCCCTCTAATAACCCTTTAGTTATTATCAATTGAGTAATTATTTCTCTACGATCTCAATTAATTATATAAAGCATAAAAATTGTGTATTATTAAAGGTATCGCGGGGTTATGAACACATGCGCATGTCGATGTTATTTTGTTACCTCCCCCCCCCTTATCGCCATCTTTGTAACACCGTCCCCTATTGGTCGACGTTGCACAGTGCCACCAGAGAGCTGTGCAACGATTGGTTAACTGAGCGGCGGGAAGGCTGGTGGACCAATCACGTACCGTGTTCACCGTCTCCTGGCTCTCAGTAGTGCAAATGGAGTAAAGAGAATGAGTGTAAGAGGGAGAGACAGTGGAATTTACGCGTCAAAATGGGCGACCGAGCCAGGAGTCTAACGATCGACGGTGTCCGGCTCATTAAGGACCTGAAGGTGGTTGAACTGAAGGCTGAATTGGATCGTCGTGGGTTATCTAAGTCCGGTAGCAAGAAGGAATTAGTGGAACGTTTAAGGAGTGTGAGTTCCTGGGTAGAGGGTTGTGTGTGTGTGCCGTGTGGATACCTGCTTTGGGGAGGCTTCTTATTTATTGGATATTTTGTGGATATTAACGGGTCTGGGGTGGGTTTAATCTGTGTGGGTTTTAGAGAGATGGGTATGGATAGATATTTGTTGTGTTGGGTTTTTTTTTTTTTAGTATTTTCACCATAAAGTGTGAAAGATGGTTTAGTGGGAGTGGATCCTCCTGCTGGGGTGTATGTGTGGGTGTGGGAGGGTTCATATGTGGGTGTGGGGGTGTAAGTGTGGGGAATATTTGTGGTGTAGTGTTAAATCTTTTGCCATACTGGTGATAGATGAGTGTTATGTAACTTGGAAGTCCATCTATGGGTATCACTAGTTTTGCCTGCTTGATGGGATGACCATAGACAATATGCTATTTTCAGTGACCTTAATATGTATAATTGCATGTAAAAATAGTAACAGGTTCTTTTATTACAATGCTAGGTACTTACCCAGGTACTGTAGAACATCTTGTGGCAGTGAAGGCTATACAGTATTAGGAAACATTCTTCATATCTTTGGAGAGGACAAAATATTCCATATATGTGCTTTAGAATTATTAATGTTCATTTTAATAATTTGGGTACAAAATTTAAGCTTTTTTTTTTTTTTAAGTTTCTACTATTGGATATTTTAATGATTTTGTATGATTACCAGTACCTGGGATGGTTACACTTCTGAAGTACAGAAATATAAACAGCTTGTTCTAGATTCCCAGCAACTCTGCTTTAGTACTTGGTGAAAATGCTATGAATGAGAGTTGAACTGTAATCTGTTGTAATATCAAGCTACTGTTTATAATTCGGTGCAGAAACAATATGTTCAGTATAGTATTATACTGCAAAATAAATGTCAATTTTGTCTTGATATTTAAATGTATTTTTGACAAGTGAACTCTTTGTTTTTCTAACAGATTAGGTTCTTAATTTGATGAGTGTATTTGAGTTTTAAAAGTAAATGGATTGATATTTGTGAAACCATTACAATAATATAGTTATATATTCTCAGCTCATCTTATTAAAATACTGGATATGGATTAGTTAAGAAAACTTACATTTCATTCCACATTTGAAGCTCGATCTGTGGCATATATGCTACTGTACAGTATATGGATAACTCATATCATTGTATCATGGCTGGATGGTCGTCATACTCAATTCCGAGTGACAGCGAAGTAGGAGTAGTAGAATACAGTGGAGGTAACTTATCTAGGGTTGAAAATACAGTAACTGAGTTCAATATACAGTATTATCATGTGTGTGTGACTTATTACTGTATATACACTATATATATATATATATATATATATATATATATATATATATATATATATATATATATATATATTTTTTTTTTTATTATTATGTATGTATGTACAGTATTAAATCACACGCACATAAATAATACAGTATATTGAAGACAAACCACTCTTGGAACCATGTTATTATCACTGACCCTTCTCAACAACTGAAATATGAACAGTTGCTGTACCAGTACTATATGTAGGATAAACATAGTTTCAGAAGAGTGGTTACAAACACACACACACACACTGAGAAAAGTTACAGAATGTTTTGGTATTCAACTCTCACTTTGTACCATTTTTTGTTTTTATAAATTTGCTTATATCATTTATATTATGTACAGCAATTATGTGTTTGTTTCCTGCAACTGTATATAAACCTTTGTTTCTACTGTGTGTGTGTGTGTGTGTGTGTGTGTGTGTGTTTTAAATTTATACTGGCCCAAAATATTTTCCCAAAATATAGGAATACTCAGCATTTAACATTTGAAGAGATTGAAAGAAACTTTAGTTTTTAAACATCAATAAATGACTGAATGAAACATATATATATATATATATATATATATATATATATATATATATATATATATATATATATATATATATATATATATATATATATATATATATATATATATATATATATATATATATATATTGCATAATATTGCATTATATTTAAAAGGAAATGCAGTGAGTTTGTCCTTAGCCTTGCATATGTCCAAAACTGTTTGCTTTTGAACACCATACTCGTCACAAACTCTAGCCACCGAAGCAGCAGCCTCTAACTTTCTTACAAGTTCCAGTTTCTGCTTCATAGAAAGGGTCACATACTTCCTCTTCGGCATATTACTCCCCCTTGAAGACATGATGTAAAATACAAGGCTGAAAGATGCCTAATCACTGAAATATCAACGAAAATTGCAGGGCAACACAACACTGATACTTGAATATGGCGCTAAGTCAACAATGACTGGCGGTCTGGCGCGCGCCATCTATCGGACAATCCCAGAACCAGAAATTTGATACGGACAGTCCCTCGCTTAGTTCAGATTTCGTCCGAATTATCCGAAATCCGGATTAAAGGGGTCCGAATTAACGAGGGTCGACTGTGTGTGTGTATATATATATATATATATATATATATATATATATATATATATATATATATATATATATATATATATATATATATATATATATATATATACACACAGTACAGTACAAGTATTGATGGGGTGTGTATTATCATATACTGTATGTGTTCCTCACACCTAATTGATTCTTTGTATTATACTGTCTGTTAATTGTTATGTTTTATCAGCTGGATGCTTCATAATGAGTATTTTTCTTACCCATGTTTTGAAAATTTGGACCTTTACTCACCACCCAAAATTCCTAGCTATGCTACTGCTCTCAGAACAAAATGATTATATTGGGTACAGTAGTTTAAGTAATAATGATGGAAGATCACTCACAAATTTGTGTAAAGAAGCTTATTTAGGTGAGATCTTACAGCTGTAGCACTGTGCTACCACACATGGAAACAGTCCAGTACAGTATATTGTATAGTCATATGGGGTAAGAATAAAACAACACAATTATCATTAACATTAATTTTTGGTTTAGATGAACCAAGTGGTTCAATTCACAAATGCCAAGTGTTAGAATAGTAAGGTCTTTTTTTATCCAAAAAACAAGTTTGTGAAATATATAAAAATTGATTTATTACCCCTTTGGAATGGGGCAAAAATTAACTTTGCTTGGGGTGGAAAAAAGAAGACGACGATATCTCCGGTATATGGACCTCAAACGATATAATAATGGTGTCAATAGATTCACAGAAGTACAATAATGATGCAGAAAATCCATAACATTTGAAACTTCATTTAAAATGGTCATACAGTGTAATATGTGAAGCTTTAAATAAACACACAAGTAAATGTGTCATAAGAGAGCAATGTAAACAGATTACCTATGTTCTTGTGGCTAACAAGATGTGTGGCTGGGTGATGGGCCAAGCCAGCTGCAGTAGTATGGTGGTGGAATGATGAAGGGGAAAAGGAGATTGTTTAAGGCCTGTAAGATGAGTGGTAACAAGGAGGAAGGTACCTGGGGTCACCATAGTGCCAGATACAAGAGGTGTATGGAGAAAATGCATTGATTGACTGCTGGAAGAGGAGTTTGAGTAGGATCAAGGAACAGCAGAGCTAGCATAGGGAATATGCCCAAGGATTGATAGAGAATGGATGAAGAAAGCAAGTGACAAAGAATGGAAAGGTAGCTGGTTGGGGAAATGTTGAAAGCATCAGAATGTGATGGTACATACACAGTGACCAAATTTATTAATGCATTCATAATGGAATGTGGGGTCTCAGCTGACTGGCACAAGAGGTGATTGTGAATAACTAGAAAGGTAAAGGCTTGGAACATTGGTATCAACAGGGGCCTGAAGCTTTTAGATCATGTCATGAGAAATTGATAAGGGTGGGAGTGGACATAAACAAAATGCACTTTGGGTTCATGCCTTTATCTGGGCTGCATAAAACACTGTTTGTACTGCATTAGGCAATGAGAAAATTATGGTGTTTGTGTGGCTGTAGGAGTTATGAGGGAAATTCCAATGAGCCTGGGTGTATCTTTCCTCGCTGGTTTTGATTTACTGTATGCAGTGGTCCCTCGGTTAACGAAAACAATTCGTTCCAGAAGGTCGTTCGTTAACCGAAACCATTGTTTCAATGGGATTTTGGGTAATTGGTTCTAGCTCACTGAAAATCACATACAAAGTAAAAAAAATGCAGTAAAGTACACTTACTTTGAGGTGTGCATGATGAAGGCTCCTGGTTGATGATGGTGATGATGGGAATTAGAAGTGGGGGTGGAGGAGAAGGAAGTGGGGGTGGAAGAGAAATCACCCCATGCTTGATGCCGTCATTTTACCCACAAAATTTTTAAGTTCACTAGGTGTAATTCTTAATTATTTTCTTTAAATCAACACTGCACTGCACTATATATTGTCTATACAATATGTTAAATAAATTTCAGAATGACCAATAATTGTACTGTAAAAACGTAAAAATACTCTGTGTTCAAGAGACCCACAAGCAAGATGTTTCCTCCACTGAACAGAGATACAAACTAAGGCCTTGGTGGGTGAGTGAAGTGGCTGATGGGCGCACCAAAAACTAGTTCCCTGTATGTACCGCAATTATGTTTAATAAGTGTTAAAATGACTAAAAAAAATTTATATAAAACATGGAAAATTATTGAATAGCACAACCTTCTTGATATTTACTCCAATTTTAACGAATGTAAGCCCTAGAACCGATTTCTGTATTGGCGGACTAGTCTTCCAGCTGGTGAGCAAGCCAAAGCATGTCGAAACATTTTCGTAAGAATTTCGTTAACCGAAATGAAGTTTCTTATGGAAGGTAATTCGTTAACCGAGGGACCACTGTAATGGGTTTTTGGGATCAAACCTTTAATTGGCATTACTTATATAAGAATAGAAACCTTAAAATGCATAATTCAGGGATGTTGGGATTGTTAAAGCATACTTACTGGTAATGTTTAGTAATTAGTCTTGTTTTTGTTTACAGAGTGTACAGTTTGAGAACAGAAAATCGAAAGCCACAGCAGCAGTTAACGAAGAGGAAGTCCCTAACAGATGGGTGAGTAATTGTGACACCTTCTGTTGGGTTTTCTTAGGCAAGTCGGGTGAGACCTCTTGATTCATTCATTTATATATTTCTATGCATGGTTATTAGTTATTTACTGTTACGGATAAAGTTATGTTGTGATCAGTTGTTGAGAGTGAATTGGCTTGGGAAAGTTAATCTATAATGCTCCTGTTTTTCTTTATTTTACTCGTGATTAAGGTAAAGTTATGACTCGGTGGTACAAACCCCAGCCCCCTAGCAGCTCATTGGCTCATCAATGTTTGATTAATATTAATTATCTCAAACTAATTCATATATAACTGTTAAGGATACACAATTCTGGCTCATTTTAATGCTGAATTTAATGGATGTAAAGATATAACTTCAAAAACATTAACTTGCAAGATATGAGTGGAAAAAGAAAGTTTAAAATGAAGAATATTTTCCTTCAAAGTCACAAACAAACTCACGCTTTTGGAGGGGAGGGGGGGGGTGGGGTGGGGCTTCTTACCTTAGTGCAGGTTGGACCCTGCTAATCCGGGACCCGACAATCCGGCAGCTCTGATGGTTTGGGACGGTGTTTGAACCTGGCTGTAGCTAGTTTCCAGGTATCAGTAGGCCTATAATATACAATTTTCTCTTTGCTTTTTCTGCTTGTCTACTTATTTCTCTGTCACAGTATAAACAGTAAACTTGTGTCATAGCACTAACACTTCATAAAGAGGTCCAATAAGCCTGGTTTATGCTGATGTAAGCTGTTTTGGTACCAGATATAGTACAGTTTTTCTAATCGGCTTAAAAGGAAAAAGACATTAGATTACATAGTACAGTACACATCATCAATACCATCACCCTCACTTTTTCACTGAACTGGACATAATTGTCCTTCTTGGTAGGGAGGGATGTCTTGAAGTTATAGTTGTAATAATAAGACATTGGACACGTGAGCATTACCTACTGATAGCATTTGTTTGGCACTCCTCCGAACACTCACGATGGCTGCGACAACTCCATTCAAACCTCAAGCATCACAGTTTAGGATGCATTATATGAGGTGCTGTGATTGATGGTGACGAATCAACCAAAATCATGTTTTGAGTAAATTGAGGGTAAAGTTTTTTAACATTAATTTTTTGTGACTAACCAACCATACGATTTTGATTATTTTTTGTGTCTGAGTATAGGAAATTTAATGTAGTTTTACCTGACATAGAAATATGCTGAAAAATGTAAATAAGTACATGAAAATCTATTTAAAAGTGAAGTATGTGCTGTGGAAATGCCTGAATGGCAATATTTTGGCTGTTGCTCACAAGGTCCAGGGTTCAATCCCTGGGAGATTCAGGTGTGAAAAAAAAAAGACGTTACTCATCGCTCCTGATGCTGTGTAGGTGTGTGTAGTGATGGAAGGTGGGGTGGGATGGGGGGTTGGTACTCAATGAGGTCGTCACCAGGGTTGAACCTCACCGATGTATGGCACTGGATCCCTCTGCCCTGCAATGATGTCCCTGAAGTAACCCCCTTCTCAGGAATATACTGCATCAGGTCCTCGACGTCGCTCAGTTTCTCGGGGGTCAGCGCCACAGGTTTGTCATACTTGGGTTGTAGTCACGGAAGCCAAGTTGAAGGTTGGAAGGTACTTATTGCCTCGTCCTTTTTGCAGCCTGACAATGTAGGGGTCTGTGAGGTTGTATGTTGTCTTGATGCCATACCCCTCCTTGTAGCTGTGGAGTAGGTCAAGACCTTGGTGTCAGTGAAACAGACCCCTGGTTCATGGAGTTTGGTGATCTGTGAAACTAAACAGAGACATCTAGGAAGTCCTCCCTCTTCATGTTCACAACTGAGAATGGTTTTGTGTGCCTGCACCCCCTGGTTGCTGGAGCGTAGCCCTCTGGTGTATAGACCTCCATCTTCCTGGGAGTTCTCTGTGTGGCCAAAGTCACCGTCACAGGGAAGGTAGAAGTGGCCAGGGACCATGAAAATGTGTTTGGTGTCAGTGAAGTGCCCCTCATGTATGTAACAAAAGCAGGCCAGAACAAAGTGTAGGTTTTTATTTTGCCCTCCACAGTTATCACTGAAAATAACGAGTTTCATGACTGAAGTGGTTACTTGTGTCCTGATGTAGTGCATGACACAGCTGACAATATCAGAAGACCTCCTCTTTGCCGTGGTTTCACTCCACAGATATATTGAAGCGTTCCCAGCGTTGACATTGTGGATCCCAAAGTTATAGGTCCACAGTTTGCATCTATAATACTGAACTCCAGAGTTGATGCGGGGAGTGTCTGCTGCAGGTCGATCAAGATGACACACAACACACCATCATCAGCATAAGCTTTCAGGGAGCCGTGAAGAACTTTTGCGCGCTTCCTGTGCAGACTTTGTTCGGTGGTGAGGCTGTAATGATTGCTAACAGCCATATAGCTATCTTATGTGTTCAATCACCAGCTGTCTTCTGACTAAACTAATACTGGGCACGTGTGATTCAGCTGTCTTGCCCCTCGTGTCCTCCTCCACAGTCACATTCACCTTACTCAGCACAGTCCTCACACGCTGTTCAGCAATCCAGTGAATAAAGTAGAAGGCATTCCTACACACTGTTAGTGTCCCATTCTCGTAAATAACACTGTACGTAATAGTACATAATTTGAGAGAGACACGGTCAGCAATATGTGAACGGCCAACGTGCCCAGAGGTTATGAGTTTATTAATGTAAATGTTCTGTTTATCAAGGTTACCAATAGTCCAGAAATCATAAAAAATCTTACTTACGTTCTCTTCACCAAGCTTGGCCATGCAGCCATCCTTGCATGTGGGGCCAATAACACGTTTCCCCACAACTTTATTCGTTCTCACACTCGTGTACTCGGTGCTAGCGTTCCTTTTTTCCTTTGTCCCCTCTAATTACCACGTATTTTCGTCCCTCACTCGCTTACGTGGGTGCCTAGGACCCTCTCCTGCACCATCACTCTCAGGTGAGGACATAATGAAAGTAATAATATCCAAGAAAAGGCACAAAAAGGCAGAGGCGAAGACTTATGACACAATCTGGGTAAAATTGTGGGAACCGAGACAGCACGGACATTCCCCCGCCGAGTGACCACCCGATTGGCTGCCGAAACCCGCGTCGCCGACGTCCCGTCCACCGATTGGACTCGCATTAAGTGGATTCTTCATTATCAAGGGGAGTCGGCCACTCTGTCTGATGGCCAAGTGCTGGAGCCATAAGGTCGATTTTGAAATATTTATTCATTGGAAATTTATCCCTAAGCCTAGGGCGAAGATGATGAATAAACCCTGTATTGCTCACCGAAAAGTACATACAAAGTAAAAAAAAAAGATGGGAATTAGAAGTGGGTGTAATTCAAGATTATTTTGTTTAAATCAACTCTGCACTGTGCTATATATTATCAATATGTTAAATAAATGTTAAAATGACTAATAATTTTAATATATAACATTAAAAAATATTAAATAGCACAACTTTCTTGATATTTACTCCACTGGAAATGAATGTAAACAAAGAACAGATTATTGAATTGGCAGACTAGTCCATCAGCTGATGCTCACAACAAAACATGATTTTCGTAAGGATTTCGTTAATTGAATTTTTGCTCGTTAACCGAATTGAAGATTCTTATGGAAGGTAATTCGTTAACCGAAGCGTTCGTTAACCGAGAGACCACTGTACAGTAATATTGCTAAAAATTATGGCTTTTTCACATTTAATTTACATTTAATGTTTATTTAATTTAAGTTTCTATCAGTCCATGGTGCTTTAGAGACACAGGAGGTGTATCATTAGTGGGTCAGAGGTGTACAGTATTGTTGAATTATTATTACCTGACCTCAGTTGGTCCGGCAAAACGGATAATTCGGTGAGGTTTTGGAACCAAGGGTGCCGGAAAATCTGTGGTGGACCTGTACAGTATATCCAGTGATGCTTAGTTCCATGGCTTTGTTCTGTGAATGTCTGGTGGTCCTTGTTATTCATGTGATCCTGGAAAACACAAATATTGGTGAAGCCAAAGTTAACATGAGAGTAATGTTATGTTATTTGTGATTACAGATTACATTACTGTAGATTACATCACATATTTAACTTGTCAAGCAGTGTAATAGGTAAAGGCAGGATTTGACTTTTTTAACAATTTAATTAGCTGGAACTTTTTCACTGTCTATTTTTAAGATTTAATGAAGTGTTGAGCTTTAACGATTATTATTTTATGAATGTTTTATGCAAGACAAGTAAAAATAATCATAATTTTCCTTTGCAGCTACAAAATGAAGCCAACCTAGACAATGACTTCATCAGAGAATATTTCCAATCTCAGAAAGCACTTTATCGACAGCAGATAGAAGCACGAAGGCAGTACAGAGGTGAGTGTATACTGCAGTAAATATATTCTTTCTTTACAATAATGGTTGTGACCTTTGCTTAGCAGACCTGTACAGTACTTCAGGGAGTAATAGTGTAGAGCTCTGGTACAGTTTATGTGGACATCTTCAAGCGTTTCTGATTCAAAGAACTTCTAGAAAGGCAATTGAAATTTATAGTGTCTGCTTTATCAGATGGAAAATATTTTAAAGTGAATGAGAATAGGAAAGGAAATTAAATTTTTGGTACACTATTGATTCAGAATGTGTATGTAAATCTATCATTAAGGTAATGGGATTCTAAACTGGTATGTCGTCCAGCTTTGTGTTGCTATGTGTTTGAAGATACTGCTTAATAGCTTCAATAGATTGTGTGGACTGCTTGGAAATCAAGTGCTTTTAGATATTGATAATGTGATATCAAAGCTGTTCAGTCCCAATTTTGTGTAGTTGTCAATAATTTAGTCTTGCTGAATCTTGACCCTTGATTATGGTGTTTGTTTGCCTGTAATTGACTTGTGATGCTCATGTGTGAACAAAATTTTGTCAAGAGAAAAAATAATTTATTTGAAGCTTCACCCTTGAGAATATTTATAGGTACAGGTTGTACCTCTCTAGTCCAGCATTCTGTGGTCCGGAACGATTTTAGTTTGCCCATGGAGAAAATTAATTTGAGTTTGGTACTTTTGATGTTTGGCTAAAATTTGCCTTATTTACCCTACGTTTTTGGCGAATTACTACCTCTAATAAAGCAACATCCTAATAAACCAACGAAAATAACACAGATAAAGTTAAATAAAAACTAAAAACAACACAGAAAAGGTTTTTATGTTCAACAGCTTTAGCTAGAGTTGAACCTGATGACTTGGCAACTTCGTCATCAGAGTAAAAACACACACAACATTACCTGTCCTTATGTTTTCAACTTTACCACCACTGGTGGGTAGAATTTATATTTTAAATTCAGAAACATGATTTAAAATATATATGTATAGTAAATAAGCGTTGCTCTCATATTCTTATGTAGAGTAATGACGATATATTTTCACATGTGCGCACTTACATACGCGCAGTCTCACTTTTTTTCTTTACCATTTATGGTTAGCTACTTTTATTGTTCCATTTATTAACATTAAATAACATTACTTAAAACAACCATATTAATTTTTTAAATTAATTTTACTACGGCTACTACCAGGGTCTTATTTTCTTCAGTTTTATATGTAGAACCAGTCAGCCACTGGTTTTGTAAACAACGAAAACTGCCGTCTCATCTCCTCGTGTGTTTTAATATTCTACGTATTATTAATGAATTGTATTGTTCATTTTGCACACAAACATTAATTCAATCAAAAAGACATTCAGTAATAAACAATAATGAGTCTTTTGTACATAAGAGAAATGATGCTGTTTACACGATTATGCACGTCTGAATGTTGGCGGGCCGCTCAAACCCGTCAAAATTCGAGTTTCCACCATCAAAATTTTAAATTGTGTAGTGTTTTTTTTTGTGTCCAAATAAACAACGTTGAATTAAAAACTCGCGAAATTTGAGAACCTACTGTACAACATTTAACCCTTCAATATTTCTTCAAAGAGACCACGAAGCAGTGAAAGTGGTGCTAGTGCTTCCAAGCATAAGCACAAGTCACTATCTATCCAGGAAAAGGGTGAATTTCCATGGTCCGGCACCGGTCAGGTCCCGAGGTTGCCGGACTTGAGAGGTACAACCTGTAATGAAACTACAAACATCAGTGTAAGTATAGTTAGGAGGATATAGGTAATAGGAGTTATTTTTAATGTGTACAAATATGGTGGAAACCAACTACTGTAGTTCATGAGGTAAGTTTGCTGAACCTTTCATGGATAATTTGGTCGTGCTCAAAATTCTTAATACAGTGATTAAATGGGAAAGATTGGTTTTATTGTAGAACAGTCATTTTCCATGTTTTATTGAGGTTCTGTTACTTGATGGGACACAAATGTTCAAATTATTCTGATTGCTTATTTAATAACATTTATTTACTTTATGAGAGATTATGAAAGTACTGTACACGACAAAATGGTACTGAAGATAGCAAGGGAGGCTAAGGCAAACCCCAAGGGATTCTATCAAATGTATTAAACTAAAACACGAGAAAAGATTGGACCAAAACAGTCAGATACCGGCGAGCTAATCGATAACGACGGAGAAATGAGCAATAATCTGAATAAATATACAGTATTTCAATAGTTTTCACCTCCGAAAATTTAAACATGATACCTGAGGCTCCGTCTCTATACAGAGATGGTGAAGAAAATAAATAAAGCGAGATAGTAGTGACTAGTAATGATGTTAGTAAGCAAATAGACAAACTAAGGCCTAATAAGTCACCAGGTCCCGATGAGATATTTGCCAGAGTATTAAAGGAATGTAAGGAAGAGCTTAGTATGCCCTGAGCAAAGTTGTTTAACATGTCCTTAAAAACAGGTGTAGTACCAGAATCCTGGAAGATAGCGAATGTAATACTGATTATCAAGAAGGGAGATAGATCACTATCCTCTAACTACCGCCCAATCAGTCTAACATCAATTGTAGGTAAATTACTGGAAGCAATCATTTCAAATTATTTGAAATTACCTGGAGAAGCACAAGTTGATCAATGATTCATAACATGGCTTCACAAGCGGGCATTCATGTCTTAACTAATCTATTAACATTCTTTTCAACTGTTTTCGAATCGGTGGACGAGGGGCACAATTATGATGTATATCTCGACTTTAGCAAAGCCTTCGACAGAGTCCCCCACGAAAGACTAATAAGAAAGTAGAGGCTTGTGGCATTAAAGGAGATATTCTAAAACGGATTAGGGCATGGTTACAGGACAGGAAACAGCGAGTGAGCATTAACAGCACTAAATCCCACTGGAGCAATGTCACTAATGGAGTTCTCCAAGGCTCAGTACTCGGACCATTATTATTTATTATATACATAAACGACATAGATATCGGCGTAGACAGCAACAAAAGTAAATTTGCTGATGACACTAAAATAGGGCGTGTAATTAAATCTGACGATGACTCCGCAAAACTACAGGAAGATGTAAACAAATTTTTCGAATGATCGGGAAAATGGCAGATGAGATTCAATGTGGACAAATGTAAAGTACTCAGTATAGGAGATGTAAACAGGGAAACCAGATACCAGATGAACAACAATGTTATTGAGGAATCCGACTGCGAGAAAGATTTAGGATTAATGTTAAGTACTGGTATGAATTTTAAGCCGAGTAAACACTGTGTATTTGCTCGAAACAAGGCTAATAGAGTACTGTATATTGTTTCTCACTATTGATCTATTTTTTTTTCATTTTTGTATTTCTCTATGGTTCTTTATTATTATTATTATTATTATTATTATTATTATTATTATTATTATTACATTTTCGCCCCTTAGGCCCCGATGTGGGTCAGTGACCTGTGCCCGTGTGGGCTAATACCCGTAAAAAAAATAAATGAAATAAAATAAATAAATAAAATCCAAAATCAGGGTGCGTCTTCCACGATGCAGCGTCTTCCAAGCCAAAAAATACGGTATATCAGCTTGGTCAGTGTTCTCTCATTTTGACAGCTGGCCACACGATAGTATTAAACAACAAACATGAAATTCTTCGTGTTTACAGTTTACATGAAATTAGAATAGTCAAAATGTCATTTCAGGGAGCTGATGATATTATTGTGCACCTTTACTTTCCAAGCCGTATTTCAAGACTTATCTTTCATTCATTAAAAAATGAAAAATCAAAGAAACGAGAAAACATTAATAATTTATATGTACTGTACAGTATTTGTAATGGATCTTGGATGGGAAGACAATATTCACATACCCATTATATTTTGTAACAGCACCTCCAGTCTCAACTGTGTCCCGATGGCGGGGGAGGTATTGTTCATTTTGAAATCCATTGCACCCAGGAGTAAAAGTAATTTATGGCTTGACTTTATTGGGTAATAAAAGGACAGGCTATTTTGGTTTGGGTTAGAAAGGTCTTTTGCTAAAAGTATATGACACTCAGTTAATTTTGGTATGTTAAGTGCCACATGGTAAGTTGATGAGATGCACAAACCATAATGTTCATAAATTTCTCAATTTTATACATATACATTTCATCCAGCAGAAACCGTAGGAGCCACTGCTGCACCATCTGAAGCAGCTGGTGCAACTCCAGCATTCCAGTCATCAGAGTCCACTTGTGAGGAAACACAAAGCAGGGACAAGGATAGACTAGAGGGTACTAAGAGTAAGGGGAATAAGGCTTGCAGTAGTCGCTCTTATTCTTCCAAACTTGAAACATCTGTAACTGTTCCAAGCACCACAACTTTTGTTGTCACAACAGCTTCCCCCACTGTTAAGACTGCAACAGCTCCCACTGTAAAGAACACAACCACCTTTGCAGCCAAGGTTCCCGCATCCAAAACCATCTCATCGTGCTCTCTTGAAAGTGAGACAACACCCACCGTTAAGCCCATTACAACGCCCGTTATCAGATCCAGCCAGTCATCTTTATCTAAAACCTCGTCATCTGTTGACAGCAACAGTGTTCCCATCTCGGCAGCACCGAGTGGCAGACAGTCTATTGGAAGACAAGTCTCTGCTAGACAAGGTGCAAGCACACCAAGTAATGCTAGTGTTACCTCACATTTCACCACAGCTACCCCTGCTCACCCCACAGCACCCAAGGAGCGGCTGCTAGCGCCACTCACACTTAAGGTAAGGAGCAATGATTAATAATGTAGCTTGAAAATCATATTGTGTACTAGCCAATTGTGGAAATATGTAAACACGGCCAAACCACTTTTTCTGAATACAAATAGGAACATGTTCAGATGTATCCTTAGTTTAATGTCCTCAGGATGTGTAATCATCCTGTCTCTTTAGTCTTATTAGTAATACTGCTCTTAAGTTACTTTGGTTAACTGTTTACTGCATCCCTCATAAACTACCTGGATATGAGATGTTCCCCCACATCTAATATCTGCAGTGTATTGTTGTAAAGAGGGCTGCTTTTAGTCATGTTAATTAAACTTTGACTAGCATGGGATCCTTGTTTTCTGGAATGATTTCACATTTATCATCATTAGATGTCATATATGAGATTTTATCTTATTTTATTTTTTGAACAAAGAACTATTATCTACATTCTTTTTCCAGGTCAAGAAGTTGAAGAGTGAGTTGGCACCTGTTCCAAGTCCAGAGACACCATCAACTTCCTCAAACTGTTGCAGGCCGAGCAGAAGTTCTGCCCGTGCTGCACGAGTTTTGAGCAGAGTATCACTTGAAGACTCGGAGGAAGAAGAGTCGGAAGAGGAGCACCGGCAGCAGTCGTCACGACGCTCTCGCAAGCGGTCAGCCCGACACTCACAGGGCCAGGAAGACCCAGATTATCAAGCTAGCCCTGTTGGTAGTTCCCCACACAGTGATCTCAAAGACAGAGTGCCGTCTCTTAAAATTAAGTTACCCGACCCTGTGCCTAATCCTGTTGATGAAAAACCAAAGAAAAAGATAGAAAGTTGTAGTAGTGATAAGAAGGAACTAGCCAATTTAACTGAAGCTAGAAGTAAGCGTGTAAATCATAATAATAGAAAACATATAAGTGGTCAACCACAGGAAATTGGTAAACCTGAGGTTAGCTCAGTCTTTGGTAATAGTGCATCCACAAGCCATCGAGAACCAGAGCAGACAATTGTAAGTGTAAACAGTGATGATTCCAGTAAGAAAAGGTTGTCTGTTAAAGTCATTCCTTCTGTATCTGAATCATTGAATCCAGTACTCGGGGCTCCCGTGAACAAAAGTGAGAATCAACACTCTGGGGATGGTTCAACTTTACAGGGACCAGACTATACAAATTTGCAACCTATTGTCTCATTGAAAAGGTTACAAAAGATCACCCAGTCAGATTCACAAATCGCCAAAGAGAAATTAGATGAAATCTCTGAAAATTTGAACCCACCTTCTCAAGTGGGTGAGGAACTTGAAAGTGAAAGAGTGAAAACACAGTTGTCAGGTTTAGATACAAAAAGTAAAAGCGAAGGTAAAGAATCGTCTGTGAAAATTAAAGATGAGGTTTCTGAATTTAGTGCTAGTAGTTATGATGAAAGACCTCCAGTAAAAAGTACAGAAGAGCAGCAGGAGTCATCAAACTGTGATAAACTTAGGCAGGTAAAAGTAGAGGTATCTGTACATGAAACAAAGTCAGATACAAAACTGTACATAAAAGGTGGCTCTCATGTGAGTATTTGTGAAAAAGAAAAAGCAGTAATTCAAAGAAATCCTATAGCAAGTGAAGACTTAAAAGATATTTCAAAAATTATTAAAAGTGAAACTTCAAACGAAAGTGAGCTTTTGAATAAACATAAAAACAAATTTGGAAGAGAGAGTGAAGAAAGGGTTGAAGGAATTTTATCCAAAGTTATTGTTGATACCAAAAAACAGTCTAAGGAGGTAGTACAAAGTATAGAAAAAAGTGTTCTCTCAGCACCAGGCCAACCAAAGTCATCGACATTTTCACTTGAGGCAGATATAAAGTGTGAAACCAGTTGCAGTCCTTACAAGAGTGTTAGTTTAACAGTATCCCCATTTGTGTCTACAGTGACTGATGCCAAACCTGTGATATCTGAGTCTGTTGATCCATCAAAGAAAACACATAGTACAAAAGCACATTCTGACAGCCAGGCTATAAAACCTACTATCAGTGACAGAGAATCCAGTAAAAAGTGTGAAGTTGAGGCTTCTAGTTCCTTGGAAGAGGAGATAGTAAAGAAGAAAGATAATACCACTAAAGGAATCTCTCCTGAAGAATCAGAAGTTGTTAAAGCTCGGGTTAGAGAACCCTTATCACGTGCCCCCTCTGTCAGTCCCTTACGTAAACCAGCTGCTCTACCAACCGGTCCATTGAAGACTAAAATTTGGGAAAAACTTTTAGATACAGCTCAAAAGAAAGGAGATCCTACCAAAGAAACTCCCAAAGAATTAGCAAGAAAAAATGAAATAAGCAAGCAATTGGAGTGTAAAACTGGAACCCTACTTATAGAAGCTGCTTGTTCTGAGAAAACTAGTGTCAAGGAGTTTCCATTTGAAAAAAGATCAAGCACAGAATCCCCAAGTGACTTGCAAGAAACAAAAGAAGGTTCAGTAAGTTGTCAAGGGAAACCTCAAGAATCATATGTGACAAAAACAACAGATTATGATCTCACTTTACACAATTTGAATAAACTTTCTCCTGGCTTTAGCACTGAGGAGAGAGAGAGAGGAAAAGACAGCTCAAAGGAAGTTGAGCTGAAGGAGGAAATTCAAAAGGTCTCCCCAAAAGATTCCCCAAATATAATTTTAACTGGTGAAGGTAACTCTCTGAAAAGCCCTTCTGCCACAACAAGCAAAGCTAAGGCTGATGAAGATACTGTATTTGCCTGCAATAAAAACCTGCCTGAAGTAGTCAAGAGTAGAAGTGATAACACTGAAATTGTATCTTCTACAAGGAAGGAAGAATTGGTCCAACACACAAAACCATCTGGCTCTGGAATTGTACTGCAAGCTACTGAAAATAAACATATTGCAAGTAAAGAAGCTGAAGTATCTGCAGCTTCACCAGAAAAGGATATAGAGGTCTTGCATTCTCTAGTTATTGACAGAAAGGATATCCTTGAAGAAAGTTGTTTAAGTCAGAGGAACAAGGATAATTTGGAATTGCTTAGTTTACATCAAAATACTCTTGTGGAAGAACCAAATTCTGAGACTTCACCAAATAGAGACAAGTATTCTAGAAAAGAAACTGAATCCATTCCACATTCTGATTTTACTACACCTAAAACATTTTTTCAGAGTGAGGACAAATATCTACTGAGTTCTCTTCATAGCCCAAAGCAAGGTAACTACTTGGTTGACTACTTTAAAGTTTGTAGATCTGAAAGTTCAGGTGGTCCCAAAGGAAGCCAGGAATTAAATTTTTCTGTTCCTACTAGTAAAAAATCTTTTCAAGGTTCAAGCATACAATCAACACATTGGTTTAAGAGCACTGAAAATCAAATATTAAACAGCCAGACTGACCCACTCGGTACAAAATTAACACCTTCAGAAGAAAGTAATTGTAAAAAAAGCAACGAGGAAGAATCTTCACAATCCACATCTCCCAGTCTTAGTAGTAGCAAGGAAAGCTTTTCTGTTAGTAAAGGTGTGGTAAGATATGAATTAGAATCAGCTTTGGAAACAAAGCATATTGTTGCTAGAACTGAAGAAGAATCTGCCTCAGAAACAACATTGATTGTAGAAAGAATTGATGGACCTGATACTGTCACAAAACCTTTAGTAACAAGAAGTGAAGGAGAGTATACTTCCAAGAGTAAGCCTATTGTTGGAAGCAGTGACGACCAGTCGGCTTACTCTAAACCTGCGTTTGGAAGAAGTGAGGAAACAGCAGACTCAAATACTTTTGTTGTAACAAGTGAGAATAAAGATAATTCACACACCAAGAACAAAGAAGTGAGTGAAGAAAAGTGCACGTCAGTGACAAAACTTGTACAGAGTGAAGACAAATTTAGAGAGACTAGACCTGTTTCAGCAGAAAGTGAAGAAAAATCTACTTTAGACACAAAACCTGTTGGTGTGAGTGAAGAAAAATCTACTCCAGAGACTAAGTCTGTTTTAGTGGAAAACAAGAAAAAGTCAATTTGTGACACAAAATCTGTTACAGAAAAAAGTGAAGGAAGAATAACTGCCGTTACAAAATCTGTTGAGATCTGTGAAGAAAAATCGGCTTCAGTTATAGATAGATGCGAAGAAAATCCTACTTCTAACTTCATATCGGTTCTGTTTACAGGTAAAGGAAATTCAATTTCAGCCACAAAATCTGTAACTGAAAGGAGTGAAGGAAAGTTAATTTTTGACTTAAAACCTGATAAAGAGAGAAGCGTTGAAAAATTTGTTACAAAGCCTTTTACGGAGGGAACTGAAAGAAAAACATCAGGCATCAATTTTACTCCATCAAGAACTGAGGAGGAAACTACTACTGACAGTAGTAGTGAAGAGACATCCACTTCTGATGCAAAATTTGTTTCGGCAATAAATGAGAAAAGATCATTTTCAGAAGAAATCTTTTTTAGAGGACTTTCTGAAGGAGAGTCAAGTTCTGAGAGAAAGCTCGAAACTAATTTAGACCAGCCTGTTTCTGGAGAAGACGGTTCAGGTTTAACAGAAAACAAGACAAAATCTCCTCCATTCCTAAAATTTTCTGTGTTAAGGGAAAGAGAATCGGTGTCCTGTACTGCATCAAGAACTAACGAGGATCCTACATCAACAAAAGCTCCGAGTTTAATTACGAGTGAGAAAGTGTGCATCCAGGGAGGAGGAACTGTTGAAGCTACAAGTGGGTTCAAATTACCATCACAATTGAAAGATTCTGAACCTGTAAGAGAGTTAGAATCTACTTCAGAATCAAAAGCACCAATATCTAGAAGTGAGGTACTTGCTACTTCAGAATCAAAAGCATCTGAATCTAGAACTAAATTAAAGTCTACTTCAGAATCAAAAGTAAGTGAAACTAAGACGGAAAATAGTTTTGATAAAGAAGATACAGAAGGTGAAGGTGAGGTAAAGTGTTCTTCAGATTTAAATATTGTTGAAACTAAGGTTAGCTCAGTAACTGGAAAAAAATCTACATGTAAAATTAAAGTAGGAAGTGAGGTCAAATCAATATCAACTGGTGTTCTTGTGAGTGAAGAAGAACCTGCATCAAGAAAATCCACTGGGAGTGAAGAAAGGTTGCAAGTCCGTAGCATTGACTCTACCTGGAGTAAAGATCTAGCCCCAGAATCAAGGTCTTGTATTGAAAGCTTGGCTGTGATTACCTTTCCAGCTGTAGACCAATCAAACTTTGAGGAAACTTCTACTCGAGAATCAAAGTTACCCAGAACAAGCAATCAAATATATCCTTATAGAGGTCCAATTCATGAACTACCTGTAGGTCAGGTTGAAGTTGAAGTTGAACAAAAGTGCCCTGGAAGCAGTGATCCTAAAACCGAAGGTCAGCCTCCTGTAAGTAATAAGAATATCAATTATAATTCGAGTTCAATTACCACTGGATTTGGAACATTGAACCAGATTAGTCAAAGTGCCTCAGATAAATTAAACCTCAAGGAAATAGAAGTTTGCAAAAATCTTATAGAATTATCTCCTGATAAGGTAGCTCAGTGTGACATTGCTCTGAGGGAAGATTCCTCTTCAAACTCAGTCAACAGAAGCACAAGCAAGCTATCACAAAGCAAGTCGAGTGAAGTTGAAAGTCCCACATTAGAAACTGAAGAGATTACCAGTTGTGATAAACCTGCTCAGGACTTCCAGGACAGCTTGGTTCTAGAGAAAAGGGAAGAGCCAACAAAGGCAGATTCTGAAAAGCATCCAGTCAAGGATCATTATATTAGCAATTTAAATACTTCACAAACTTGTGAGTACAACATATTGAGTAGTTCCACCACATATAATGTCTTGGCCCGTGATATAAAGGATAAAGAGGAAATTAAAGAAACCAATTTTAAACCAAATAAGGAGAACGGTTCCTCAGGTACCACAGAAGTTGGGGACACCATACAAACACCTTTGAAAAACCCACAGACAGTTGATTCCAGTGAAATCAAAACTTACAACTTGTATTTTGGTGAAGGTCAAGAGCCCGATCAGGGTACATCTTATACTCGTGAGGAGCAAGTGGCAGCTGATAAGTTTACGTGTGAAATTGTTGGGGAATTTTCAGGTTCCAAGAATAAAGGATCTATTCTCCATCAGAAATCCCATTGTGTTGGGTCTGCCACTTCTGTTGACCAGGAGGAACGTAGACAGAAGGATTTCATCAGCTTCTTTGGGGTAAATCCTGATGAAAGGTTACTTGGTACTTGTACATTAATACCCAAGAAATCAACAGACCTTATTCCACTTGAAACTGAAGCTGTTGCAAAGGACGATAGCACAGCACTTCAAGACCATCCAAATAGAAAAACAGCAACAAAGGAGAAACATTTGCCTGTTTATAGTTTGGAACCTACTAAAGAGGAAATTAACCTTGTTAGCACAAACCCACCTAAAGAGAAAGTTTACCTTGATAGTTCAGCAAATACAGAGAAGGACGAAACTCACCGTCTTAGTACATCAGCTACAAACACTGACCTCTACCAACCACTTTGGGAAATAACATCACAGCAGTCGGAAGTTCTCCGTGTTGTGAGTGCAGCAAACACAAAACCTGAAGTTCACCTGGTTGAAAGTGTCACCACAACAAAAGAAGCTCAGCCAGTTGTGGGTGTAACAGCCACAGAGATAAAACATAACCCATTGGTAAGTTTATCACACACAAACCCAGATTCCTGTTTGCTTGTGAGTGGAGTGGCTACAAAGCAGTTAGAATCTATCCCTGCTGAAGGTGAAGCAGCAACTAAGGCTGAAGCTCAACCGCTTGAAATTACTGCATCCACAAGGAATCCGAAGGTCCTTCCTCTATTGGGTGTAGCATCCATAAAGACAGAAGTCTCTACAGCTGTTAGTACAGCAGCCACAAAGACAGAAGTCTCTACAGCTGTTAGTACAGCAGCCACAAAGACAGAAGTCTCTCCAGCTGTGACTACAGGAACCACAAGGACAGAAGTCTCTCCAGCTGTGACTACAGGAACAACAAAGACAGAAGTCTCTCCAGCTGTGACTACAGGAACCACAAGGACAGAAGTCTCTCCAGCTGTGACTACAGGAACAACAAAGACAGAAGTCTCTACAGCTGTTGGTACAGCAACCACAAAGACAGAAGTCTCTACAGCTGTTGGTACAGCAACCACAAAGACAGAAGTCTCTACAGCTGTTGGTACAGCAGCCACAAAGACAGAAGTCTCTACAGCTGTTGGTACAGCAACCACAAAGACAGAAGTCTCTCCAGCTGTGACTACAGGAACAACAAAGACAGAAGTCTCTCCAGCTGTTAGTACAGCAGCCACAAAGACAGAAGTCTCTACAGCTGTTGGTACAGCAACCACAAAGACAGAAGTCTCTACAGCTGTTGGTACAGCAACCACAAAGACAGAAGTCTCTACAGCTGTTGGTACAGCAACCACAAAGACAGAAGTCTCTACAGCTGTTGGTACAGCAACCACAAAGACAGAAGTCTCTACAGCTGTTGGTACAGCAACCACAAAGACAGAAGTCTCTCCAGCTGTGACTACAGGAACCACAAAGACAGAAGTCTCTACAGCTGTTGGTACAGCAACCACAAAGACAGAAGTCTCTACAGCTGTTGGTACAGCAGCCACAAAGACAGAAGTCTCCAGCTGTTAGTGCAGCAGCCACAAAGACAGAAGTCTCTCCAGCTGTGACTACAGGAACCACAAAGACAGAAGTCTCTACAGCTGTTGGTACAGCAGCCACAAAGACAGAAGTCTCTCCAGCTGTTGGTACAGCAACCACAAAGACAGAGTAGCTGTTGGTACAGCAACCACAAAGACAGAAGTCTCTCCAGCTGTGACTACAGGAACCACAAAGACAGAAGTCTCAGCTGTGACTACAGGAACCACAAAGACAGAAGTCTCTACAGCTGTGACTACAGGAACCACAAAGACAGAAGTTCTCTCCAGCTGTTGGTACAGCAGCCACAAAGACAGAAGTCTCTCCAGCTGTGACTACAGGAACCACAAAGACAGAAGTCTCTCCAGCTGTGACTACAGGAACAACAAAGACAGAAGTCTCTCCAGCTGTTGGTACAGCAGCCACAAAGACAGAAGTCTCTCCAGCTGTGACTACAGGAACCACAAAGACAGAAGTCTCTACAGCTGTGACTACAGGAACCACAAAGACAGAAGTCTCTACAGCTGTGACTACAGGAACCACAAAGACAGAAGTCTCTCCAGCTGTGACTACAGGAACAACAAAGACAGAAGTCTCTACAGCTGTTGGTACAGCAGCCACAAAGACAGAAGTCTCTCCAGCTGTTGGTACAGCAGCCACAAAGACAGAAGTCTCTCCAGCTGTGACTACAGGAACCACAAAGACAGAAGTCTCTACAGCTGTGACTACAGGAACCACAAAGACAGAAGTCTCTCCAGCTGTTGGTACAGCAGCCACAAAGACAGAAGTCTCTCCAGCTGTTGGTACAGCAGCCACAAAGACAGAAGTCTCTCCAGCTGTGACTACAGGAACCACAAAGACAGAAGTCTCTCCAGCTGTGACTACAGGAACAACAAAGACAGAAGTCTCTCCAGCTGTGACTACAGGAACAACAAAGACAGAAGTCTCTACAGCTGTGACTACAGGAACAACAAAGACAGAAGTCTCTACAGCTGTGACTACAGGAACCACAAAGACAGAAGTCTCTACAGCTGTGACTACAGGAACAACAAAGACAGAAGTCTCTACAGCTGTGACTACAGGAACCACAAAGACAGAAGTCTCTCCAGCTGTGACTACAGGAACAACAAAGACAGAAGTCTCTACAGCTGTTGGTACAGCAGCCACAAAGACAGAAGTCTCTCCAGCTGTTGGTACAGCAGCCACAAAGACAGAAGTCTCTCCAGCTGTTAGTACAGCAGCCACAAAGACAGAAGTCTCTCCAGCTGTGACTACAGGAACAACAAAGACAGAAGTCTCTACAGCTGTTAGTACAGCAGCCACAAAGACAGAAGTCTCTCCAGCTGTTGGTACAGCAGCCACAAAGACAGAAGTCTCTACAGCTGTTGGTACAGCAGCCACAAAGACAGAAGTCTCTCCAGCTGTGACTACAGGAACAACAAAGACAGAAGTCTCTACAGCTGTTGGTACAGCAGCCACAAAGACAGAAGTCTCTCCAGCTGTGACTACAGGAACAACAAAGACAGAAGTCTCTACAGCTGTTGGTACAGCAACCACAAAGACAGAAGTCTCTCCAGCTGTGACTACAGCAGCCACAAAGACAGAAGTCTCTACAGCTGTTGGTACAGCAGCCACAAAGACAGAAGTCTCTCCAGCTGTTGGTACAGCAGCCACAAAGACAGAAGTCTCTACAGCTGTTGGTACAGCAGCCACAAAGACAGAAGTCTCTCCAGCTGTTAGTACAGCGGTCACAAAGACAGAAGTCTCTCCAGCTGTGACTACAGGAACCACAAACACAGAAATCTCTCCAGCTGTTGGTACAGCAGCCACAAAGACAGAAGTCTCTCCAGCTGTTAGTACAGCGGTCACAAAGACAGAAGTCTCTACAGCTGTTGGTACAGCAACCACAAAGACAGAAGTCTCTACAGCTGTTGGTACAGCAGCCACAAAGACAGAAGTCTCTCCAGCTGTTAGTACAGCGGTCACAAAGACAGAAGTCTCTCCAGCTGTGACTACAGGAACCACAAAGACAGAAGTCTCTCCAGCTGTTAGTACAGCGGTCACAAAGACAGAAGTCTCTCCAGCTGTGACTACAGGAACCACAAGACAGAAGTCTCTCCAGCTGTTGGTACAGCAGCCACAAAGACAGAAGTCTCTCCAGCTGTTGGTACAGCAGCCACAAAGACAGAAGTCTCTCCAGCTGTTGGTACAGCAGCCACAAAGACAGAAGTCTCTCCAGCTGTTGGTACAGCAGCCACAAAGACAGAAGTCTCTCCAGCTGTTAGTGCAGCGGTCACAAAGACAGAAGTCTCTCCAGCTGTTAGTACAGCAGCCACAAAGACAGAAGTCTCTCCAGCTGTTGGTACAGCAGCCACAAAGACAGAAGTCTCTCCAGCTGTTGGTACAGCAGCCACAAAGACAGAAGTCTCTCCAGCTGTTAGTGCAGCGGTCACAAAGACAGAAGTCTCTCCAGCTGTTAGTGCAGCGGTCACAAAGACAGAAGTTTCTCCAGCTGTGACTACAGGAACAACAAAGGCAGAAGTCTCTCCAGCTGTTAGTGCAGCACCCACAAAGACAGAAGTCTCTCCAGCTGTGACTACAGGAACCACAAAGACAGAAGTCTCTCCAGCTGTTAGTGCAGCAGCCACAAAGACAGAAGTCTCTCCAGCTGTGACTACAGGAACCACAAAGACAGAAGTCTCTACAGCTGTTAGTGCAGCAGCCACAAAGACAGAAGTCTCTCCAGCTGTTAGTACAGCAGCCACAAAGGCAGAAGTCTCTCCAGCTGTTAGTACAGCAGTCACAAAGGCAGAAGTCTCTCCAGCTGTTAGTACAGCAGCCACAAAGGCAGAAGTCTCTCCAGCTGTTAGTACAGCAGCCACAAAGACAGAAGTCTCTCCAGCTGTTAGTACAGCAGTCACAAAGGCAGAAGTCTCTCCAGCTGTTAGTACAGCAGCCACAAAGGCAGAAGTCTCTCCAGCTGTTAGTACAGCAGCCACAAAGGCAGAAGTCTCTCTAGTTGTGAGTGTAGTTGCTACAAAGACAAAACTATCACCTGTTAGCACAGCTCCTGCAAAGACTGAAGTGTCATCAATAACTACAAAGTCGGAAATCTTTCCATTTGTTAGTACAGTAGCCACAGAAACGGAAATACCACCAGGTGTTAGCAAACTATCTGCAAAGCAAGAAGTTTGTCAAGCTGTTAGTACAATCACCACAGACACAGGAGTCTCCTCAGTGGTTGGCACAAGTGTCACGAAGTGTGAAGTCTTACCAGTTGTTGGTAGTACAACCACAAAACCTTCTTGGGGTCAAATTGTTAACACCAATATAAAGAAGGAAGTTTGTGCAGTTGCGAGTTCAGTGCTCACAAAGACAGAAATCGGCACAACCCCTGCTACGACAGCAGTGTGTCCGGATATTAATACCGTATCCACTAGACTTGAAGCTAACCCTGCTAGTTTATTTACCTCAACGGAGACAAAAGATACTTGTATAAAGAAATCAGTTGATATATCTACTGTAACCAAAGAACTAACTCAGAAAAAGTCAAACACAAATATTTCAAGCTTGAACAAAAGTTGTCCGGAGAGATTGACACTTAAAAGTAAAGAAACAGATACTGAAACTGTGAAGACATCTTCCTCCAGTGGTAAAGTTCAGTACAGTGTCAGTCATAGTGTGGTAAACAAGGAGAAGTCCAAACTTGATATTGAAGATAAAGCTCTTGCTGAACAACTTACTCCACACACAGAATTTAAAGCTAAAAAAGACAGTAGTTGTGAAGGAAGTACATCTTTAGCAAAGTCCTACTTTGCTTCAGGTCAGAAGGAAATATTAATTTTCAACGAATCAGATTCCCAGGTTAGTGGTGAAGAGTGTGACTTAAAGTATACTACAGGTTTCAATAAGGATATATTTTTGAAGAATAGGGAGAAAGAGAACAGTGAAGATACAAAGCTCTTCAACAGAACAGCATTCAAAGGGAACAGTGAGAAAGACATAGGTGATTTTGAAACTCTGGAAGTGAATAGTGATAAAAGTTGTGATAGCAGCGAAGACCTGGAGGAGAAAGAAACCCCAACTGATTCTTCAGATACTGACGCAGATTTCCCTGTGGATCCCGTCGGTGGAATTTATTTGTTTTCCGAGGTAAGCAATTATATGTACAGTACATGCTGGCTTAACATATTTGCTTACCCTTTCTTGAGTGCTTCCAGAATTTTAATAGAACAAAGCATAATATAGTACAATATATCTATGTAAAATGCCCGTAATGCAACCCAACAAATTGCAGTATCATGAATACAATATATATCCTGTAAAGAATAAAATAACCTGCAAATTGAGTACATATAGGCAATCTTCACTATATGAGAGGGATGTGTCCTGCTGAGGTGGTGTTTAGTGTGAAAATTTGTACAGGCACTGAAAACAGTTTTCTCAAACAATGGTATAAATAGAAAATGCATTTTTGGGGGCTGATTTTCAGATGACTTAGGCAGGCCAAACTACTCAAGGGTCTTCATGCAGAAAAAAAAATACGCTAGTGTGAAGCGGACCTCACTGTGGAGTATGAGAGCTGCTGCTTGCCCTCGTGGTTTGAAATATTGCTGTAGGGTATTGTCATTTTTTCTTTGAGAATTAGTGGGGCGTTATAATATGAATTGCGTATAAGCAGGATTGTGAATAGCTAGGTATTTCTGTATTGAGAAGCTATGAAACATATTTTTGAGTTGCATAAAATGTTAAATGGCATAGTTAAAGAGTGCAGGATGGTGAAATAATATGGTACTTTATTTTATATGTAGAGCACCATAAGCTCTCACTTAACCAACTTTGTTGGCTGAACTGGCAGTAAGAAGTGAAAGAAAGGAATGGAGTCAAAGGGTATAAGAGTGAATATGGTGGTAAGTGAAAATTGGTCATGTGCTGTCTGTAAGAAAGGTGTTGGTACCAACTCAATAATGTGCGGTGATTGGAAGAGTTGCAGTGGTGCAAATGGTTGACTGCAGGGTATTGTGGACTATACATGTGCTTTATGTTCAGGATCTTATGTGGCTTTAACAAGTCTGTGTTGATGAGTTCTGCTACTTGGGTAACATGATCAGCACTGGTGGTGGAGTTGAAGCTAGCTCAATTACATGGGTCAGAAGTAGTTAAAAGAGCTACTACTTTTATTGATGGTAGGAGGACCCTTTCTTCACTTGGAAGGAAAGAGGTATGGGGAGCTTGGTGATGTATGGCTGTGAAACATGACGTACATAGGCTTGATTGAGCTAATGGTGAGATGTGTGTGTGATACAACACTGAAAATTAAGAAACTCTTTTCTGATCTAAGAGGGTGGCTGATTGTTGGCAAGGTTTTGATAATGGGTAAGCTGCGAGGGTTTGGGTATGTGGAGAAAATGGAGGAGACCAACTAGGTCACGAGGTGCTAACCATGAGGGAAAAGGATAATGGTTATGATGCTGACACCATAAAATGGTACTAAAAGTATAAAATTTGTGTAATATGTTTTCAGGCATTACAGTACATAGAAATGACATTTTTTCTTGTTACAGATGGCTCGTCGCAGGAAGGCAGAAACTCCAGCAGAGGCTGAGAATGAGGCAGCCTCACAGAGTGCTCGTAAGAGTAAGAAAATAAGTGAAGCTTCAGCTGAGGAAAATAGTAATGATAGTCATCAAGAAGTAAAAGAAAGCAGCACACGTAAGTCTTCACAGAGAAGCACGCGAGGAAGAGCTAGAGGGGACAGTAACAATGGAGAAGTGCAGGAAGAGGAGAATGGGAACTCCAGGTGCCTTAGAAGTACTCGTAGCAGGAGCGTGGAGAAAGATAAGGTGGCTGAGGCCGAGACCAGTAGGACAAGAACTACATCTCAGGGTCAAAGCAGCGACAAAGAAGAAGAGACAAATTTACAGAAAGGTCAACACCGGAGGAGGAGTTTGAGGAGCGAGAGTGCAGAAAGAGAAGTGCACACACCGGTAAGAAGGTCTAGAAGGTCTTCACGAGGGCACAGCACGGAACCTGATACAGAAGAGGAAAGTGTGGAAGAGAAGGTGGCTGTTGAAGCCCAGAAGCTAGAGAGCATCCAGGAGTTAAATGAAAGTCAAAATGAAACTCCTAAGAAGGCCGCAGATGCAGGGAAAGAGCAGCAGATTGAAGAAGGTGAAAATGGGGGAAAATCTCCTACTCCTAAGGTTGTTTCTCCAAAAGAGGAAGAGAAGTCTCGTGAAATTGTTCCCGATACTCCAAAGGATGATGCCTCGAGGAAAGAGACCGAAGTGAAGAAGGTTAAACAAGCTCACAAGAAACAAAATGATGATTCTCCTAAAAGACAGAGTGAAGAAACTCCTGGAAGAGCCAAGGGGGAAAGAAGTGAAGAAAGCACTCCCATCAAAGAAAGAAGTACATCCAAGAAATCTGCCCATAGGGACGGGGATGAAAGTGCCAGAAAAGAGGAAGGTAAGAGGAGAAGGTCAAGCATTAAAAATGAAGACGACAAAACGGAGAAAAATGAAGAACACCGACACGGCGACTCAAAGGAGGAAAAGAAAGACGCTTCACGACCAAAGTTGCAGCGGAATGAAGTGAAGGTTGTGGAAGAGAAATCCAAGATGACGGAGAAGAAATCGAGGAAGGACAGGTCACCCTCCAGTAGCAGGTTAGGTTTACTCGTGTTGGTTTTGATGGAAGTGAAAAATTCTTTTGTTGATACTAGCATTGAATAGTTTTCAGAGGATGTGAATTTTTAAGTACATCTTCAAGAAATGATAAAAGAGTCCGCAGTCAGAAAATGGAAAGAAATTTAACTGAGTAAAAATTTCTTGTTGTAGAACATTAACATCATCACACCTTTTATTATCAACACTCAAGCAAATGATAGTAATGAGGCAAAATATGTGGTGTGACTAAGTAAGATTTTAAGTGTTATAGTAGAATAGCAAGGCAATTGGTGGGTAGATACTGTACAAAGAAATAGTTGGCAAACGAGTGCAGGAGAAATGGCTGGAAGTGTGGCTGTTGGTAATGAGGGAATTATGGATGCTTGGGGAAGAGGGGCAAGCCAGCCTAGAAGCTTTAGAACCAGTATAGATATTGAATTTTATTGCTCAAATATATTTTATATCCAGTTTCTTTAACCCTCTCGGCCTCACACGACACCATTGTGGCGTCAAACACAAAAGGCAAAAAAACTTGCGCTCGGCCTAGCGACTCCACGTCCAATGGGATATATTTTCAAATAACTCAAAAACTATTCAGTGAAACTGACTTAACTTTGGGTGCTATTTGACGGACGTTGTTTTCTTTGTGTGGGCCTTATTACCTTCCCCGAGACATTCTTGGTCAACCGTGTGAGTGGTGTCGCTCTGGCCACTAGAGTGAGAGGAGGGTACGCTGTGTTATATTATTTTTCCTTTTACCACGATAGTCTACATGCTTTGTTCCTTACTTTGATATACAGTATAGTAAATATCAATGAACACCATAATACAAAAGGAAAATGTGAATGGAAATCGATATGTTACTAAACATTTTCCTACTTTTTCAACTTATACCTTAAAAAACTGGCTTAAATTTCAAGAATTTTCAAATTTTTATGGTTTCAGTCAATTTTACCCCATTACAATTTAAAAAAAAACCTTGGCAGTGAAATGAGCCCCCCAAAAATTATTTTTATTTTTTCAATGATTTTTCGGTAAAAACCTGAGGCTGAGCGTAAGTTTTCATGCATGTATGTGTCTCACACTGAGGCTGAGAGGGTTAATGGCTAAGGGTATACTGTATAAAGTGTTTACCCTTTACCCCAGTCATTTAAAATTTCCTTTGGATTTAGTTACTTCCTGAGGCAACTGCCATTAATTTTTTGTGCACTTGCATTGCTGTAACAAATGGTGAGTGCTTCAATAGTTAATCTAATTTGAAAATTATTGAAAGTGTGAAGGTGGTCTGTATTTTGGGTGAAAGTTTGTAACAAGAATATTCTAGCTGGGAAGTAGGAAGGTAGAAAGCATCAAGGTATAGGTTGGTATGATAAAGTGATTTAGATCAATGGGAAGGTAATAAATGAAGATAGAGAAGTGAGTAAAATCTGATTTGAATGAGTTAAGACAAATGCCCAGTCACTTTACTCTCCAAAATAAAGTAGATTGTTCACTGTAATAGCTTGTAACTGGAATATACAGTTTAAGAGATCCCCAGGCCAAGTCCACTGAGTAATCAGCCAGTGAAATTGCTTAACCTAGCAACCTCCACATTCCACACATACATTTAGTCTGACTGTAAAGATGTCAGTAAATTCTGCATGTCTAGCTTTGAAAACATGGATCATATTTAGTATAATATCCATTTTAGGGTGAATTAGTTTATCTTTGTGTGAGTGCTTATAATCTTGAATCACTTCTTTGAAGGACTTTACTGATCTAAGGCTCTGTCAAACAGCTCTCTTGTAACAGCACAAAACAATTTGTGGAGTTAAAGGCCCCCAGTTGATGTATACCCTATATATAATGGGGTGGGATGAGCAAGGGGATCACTGTATTTAGTGTATTATATTAATTTAAGTTAAGCATAAGCCACTTCCCTTCCTCTTCACCTAAATAATTGTTGCACTATGTTACTAATATTATTATGAACTAGAAAACTGAATTTATAAATACCTTTAGGTCATCAAGCGACTCGAGGTCACTATCTCCGAAGAAGGCAAAGGAAGGTACTTTCCGATCAGTTAAGAGAGACTCTGGTAGTGAAGAAGAGAGACGTGAGAAGAGGAAGAGTATTGATGGGAGAAGGGATTCAAAGGGGCACAAAGCCCATTGTGATGATGCCAAGAAGACCTCTCGTCCACGTTTACACAGAAATGAAGTGAAAATATCAGGGGATAAGTCTGAGAGGAGGAGGAGCAGGAAGGACAGGTTTTCGTCTGAGAGCAGGTGTGTAGAGTATTTTTATCCCATGCTTCTAAACATTTGACCCACTATGGTGTATGGCAGGGTTGGATTAATTCGTTAAATTTAAAGATATAGGTTACTTATTGATTTATCTCAATTTTAACTTGCCCTTTAAATAGATTAGAAAATCAGGGGGTTAGACCTCCAACTCATGCACCCATGGGCATAGGCTTATGAGCAACTGCCCTTTAGAATCTGGACAGACAGACATGGTCATCCAAGTAAATCACTTCAACAGTTTTAGGCAAAATAAGAAAGTAATTTTGTTAAAACTTTTCCGATAAAATTTCAATTCCGGCTATTGGAGAGTTCCGGGTTTGAGGGATTACTGTACAGTGGAGTCGGGATATATTGCAACTTTTTTATATCTTGGCTACCCGAATTATCAACATTTTCCAATATATAGCGATAAATTTATTAACAGTAGACTCTCAGCTTATGTGGGGTTATGTTCCTGGGACCTCACATAAAGTCAGAAACACTACTAAAAATCCCCTAAATTGACCCAAAAATACGTGTTGAAAAACTGTACAGTACAATACTTAATGTACTCTAAAAGACTAAAAAAATTATCTCTTGTACAAAATATATGATGTGTATATTCAAATTATTCGCTGTCTTGCAAGGATTCCAGCAATGTAATTTATATTCTGCTAACTTTAGTCTGTGCCATTTTATAAGATAACAACTTTTAAGCCTAAAACCAGTCACCCTTACCTGAAGTCAGAGAGGAGTTGATTTATTATGACAGCTGGGCCAGAGCCAGACAATGTTACCTAGTGGTATTTATTTATCTGTCATGTAGGGGGAGTTTATGTTTTTCTCTTATAAGATATTAATGAATTGACGTAAGAGGATATAATTAACATTGCTAGAATTCTTATAAGATAGTGATTAATTTGAATATAAACATGCTATAGTTTGCAATAGACAAAATTTTGAGTAATTATTTAGTACATTTTAGTATAAAGGACTAAAATTTTTATCCCTTGTGCAAAATATATGATATCTATATTCAAATTATTCACTGTCTTACAAGGATTCCAGCAATGCAATTTATATTCTGCTAACTTTAGTCTGTGCCATTTTATGTCAAGTTTAGTCACTTTTATTGGCCTCCAGAACCTAACCCTATTTTCCCGATTGATTACATGTAATTATATATATAGCGAACATCCTTGGACCCTATCTCACGATATATCCCGACCCTACTGTATTGCCTTCTGACTTTGAATCTATTGAATGAAAGTTTTCAGTGACATGTAAATATTAAAAAAAAAAACCACCTAGGTGTAGTTGCAGGCGTACTTCATACTGTCTGGGACACTTGGAGGTAGTTTTAACCCAGAAATAGTAAATTTATCCTTATTTTTATGACTACAGTAGTTGTTAGTGACTTCAGAAGAATGACTTTCTAGTACTTTCAGGTCATCTAGTGATTCATCGAGGTCACCATCTCCCAAGAAACACAAAAAGTTGCATTCATCTTCATCCTCAAGTTCAAGCAGCTCTTCAAGATCCAGATCAAGGTCAAGGCATTCACGGAAAAAGTTTGGTTCTGCCAAGAAGACAGAGTCTGATCGCAAGAAATCGCCCCTTACAAAGAGGCTGACTTCTCGTTCTCCAGATATAAAGTTAAAAGAAGACAGTGATGATGAGATGATAAAGCATAAGCCAATATCTTTCCACGGTAGAAAGACCCGTCACTCTCGATCACGATCAAGGTAAACTAATGTTCTTGGCAGTATGTGGGATATACAGTATATAATTAATGAAGACCAGGGACATGTTCGATGTCAATATGTGAATGTTCATTATTATTGTTGCATATTAGCATTTTATGTTGAATGTAAAGTAGTGTTTGGGAATACTGTATATACTATTTATATTGTAAATACAGGGCCCCTCAAATTCGAGGGGTTTGGGTTATCAAAATGGCTGCGAATCGCCAAATCCGTGAAAAAAGTTTGCTGACCTGTGGGGGAGGAGGGTACATTTTTACTTGTGTACATAGAAATGTACACAGTATTCCTTCCATGTGTTTGACCTTAGGACAATTATTTCTTTTACCTGTATTGTATACTGTGTGTGTGCGTGTGTGTGCATGCGTGCAGAACACATACAAATAAATAATAATGGGAAAATACTCGCAAATAATCGGAAACAAATTTGAGAGTAAATTTTGCTGGTTGGTATTGGTAAACATCTGTAAACAATGCATTTTGCAGGTCTCCAAGGGCAAAAATACAGAAATCAAATTCAGGGTTGAGCAGCCCTGGACGAGACAGGTCTCGATCTGGCAGTAGAAGAGACAGTATCCGCTCAGATAAACACCAGGAAGAAGAGAAAGAGAACAAGGAGACCAAGATCACTATTGATTATTCCACTTTCAAGTCTGTGAGGAAAGGTAAGCCTACAACATTTAAGGGTAACAATGTGGTAATTGGTTGCAATATATTGTGCTTAAATGAATTTATTCTATACATTTATTCTGTCCGGTGTAATGGGATTAGAATTTAAGATAATTGTTAGAGATGTTTCATGCAAATGCTGCTGACATTTTCCAATATTGAACCATATATTTTATTGCCACTTTTAAGAGGATTTGTATATTTGAAAAGATGCATGTTGTATATGGTTCATAAAGCATTATCTGAGAGAGAATGTCATGGTCAAAACCTACAAGATAAAGAACTGAGATGGAGGAGGATGTCATTTTTAAGTCTTATGGTGCTAAAAGAGTAGTGTAGAGTCAAGGAGACAAAGTGAGGACTACCTGCACAGTATAGTATATACTCTCCCGGGTATACATACAGAGGTATTCTTATAGCCTTTGACCACTTGTGTGATACTTACCTTGTTTTTCATGCCATTCATCATACAGTATATACTCTTAGTAGGATGCTTATTATTTCTTCCTCTCTATATTTCAACATATTTGCACTTTGTCATTTCCTTAGCTTTTCCTGATTTTAATCTGCTTATTGCTGTTTTTCATATTTATCCTTGATATTTCAATCTGTACTTACAGTTTTTCTCTTCCTATCCCTAGCATGAAACCATTACATATTTTCCTTTATTAAATCTTAAAACATATATTCCATGTTGTCTCCTATTTGTATTGTGGTTCTTATCTTTGTATCTTTTATTCTACTATAGTTATTTCTTTCCCTTTACACGATTATCTATTTCCTGCTAAACTACAGCTTTTATTCCATATTTCTCAGCCTTTCCTTCCCCTTAAAATCTTGCACCAGTTTCTTTGCCCCTTTAACTCTCTCTCTCTCTCTCGTTATAGTTCCTTCCTCTCCTACTTTTCTGTTGGTATATTTTATTTACTGGTTGGTATATTTTATTTACTGGTTTTTTCTTTATGCTTCTTCCATGCCATTGCCTCTTTGATTAATATGCTCCACTATGTATCTTTAATTTTATATCAGTTAATTTCTTCCCACAAGCAAATTCCTCTGCCTTACTGCTAACCACCACAGGTTATTGCTGATATCGTTATTATACTTACTGACTTAGTCTCGTCAAACTCTCCATTTTGTTTAATATACCGTTGTGTATCCCAATAAAGTGTTATGCACATTGTCTTGAATTTCAGTAAGTCTAGCACGTGGTAAGTCACGTGAAGAGGAAGAAGTTGATAAACCCAAGAAGAGGAAGTGGGGCAATACTTCGTCAAAGAAGATGTCTGTTGACATATCTTCTGCTTCATTAAAGGTATTACAATTGTGTGATGTTACTTCTTAACAATTTAATATTCCTTATATCTTATCTTTGACATTTTTATTTTAATGTAGAAATTATCTTGTTTTGCAAATTCCTGTTAATGTCATTCACCAAACTTTTCCTTGATGTGAATTTGCTTCCCTATCTCTAGTAAAGGCTTCCCCTGATTTATGGAAGGTTTCTATTCCAGAAAAACCTTTTTATAAATCTACTTTTTCTAAGTTGGATCACATTTTCCTATAGACGTAGGTGAGTGATGATAATTGATGCCATGCAGCTGACTCTTTCCACTGTACAGACTGCACTTCATTTGACAATATTGTAAACTAGATTCACAACAACACATAATTTGCCAACCTCCCTGAGGAAAGATTTTCTGTTCACCTCTTCTTGTATATATAATAGCAGTACATGCCTAACTGACACATTGATTAGGTTGAGCCACAGTTAGCAATGGTATAATGAGTAAGAGGAGATGTTTTTCTTATTTCCATTGTGTTACTAATGTTAACATATTGTTTTATGGCCATTTTCCATGGGTTATGTCTGATCACCTGATGGTACCACTCCATATTGTCTCTTATGGGGTTGGGTAGTATCAGTCTTTGATTGCCTTGTGGAGATAAAACTGCCTTGCCAGCTGTTCCTATGTTGTAAGTTAGCAATAAAAAGGGCATCGAGCTATAAACCTTTGCTTCAAACATGCCTGATATTATATGGGACACCAGAGCTGTGTTCTTCCCCTTGTCCCTGCTGGATCTTATGGGTCAGTGAGCATTTCATAGCCTGTTACTTTTGCTTAATAGTAAAGGAGTGTGAACTCGGGTAGTGCCCTGAGAGGCTGCTTCATCATCCCTGAAGCTTTTTGTGGTGGGTCACCCTGTGGCCGCTACTACCTTTGGTGTGACATTAGGTTTTGCACCAAGGCTTGTAGAGGGGGAGGTGGGGGTGGCATTCCTGTTTTGTTAGATCCCAATTTAATAAATTATTTACAATATAATGAGGTAATGACTGTGCCAGTGCGGAGGTCCTTAGGGAGCCTTAGTACTTGGTGTCGAGTCCCTTGTTTTCATTAGGCATTCTTGATGATGTCAAGGTTTGCATTATTCCAACACTGTTGATTGTTTAGGTGTAGTAGTAATGTTATCAATCTGTGATTCACATTTCCTTTTTAGGAAATGTATTCTTTTCTGCACTGATGACAGTAAAGTCTCTCTTAACTGGATTATATGTTGAGCAGCCAGTCAGATTAAGGGAGAATTTCAGTTACTTATACATGTTCCCTTAATCTGACAAAGGCTCCCTGAATCCCAAATTTGTGTGCTTTTCTGGATTTTGATGTAAGTTACCATCAGTATAAACCCAAAGCATGGGGTAATGAGAAAAATGTACCTAAGATGAATACAGCACGAAGCTAAAACAAGAAATAAAGTACTGCAAATGCCTTGTACAATATTTTCTCTTAAACATTTACATAGTTGATCTTTTATGCAGTGAAAGTGGAATATACATACAGTACAGTAAGGGTTGTGCCCACTGTAGTGAATATTGGTTCATTGCTTATAGCAGATATAAGCATGATCCAAAGTTACAGGAGACCAAGAGAAAATCCATATTAACAGGGTGGTAGACTGGATTTTTTCATATGTAACTGGAAATAGTGATAATCAGGCAACAAACTGGATGACTTTATTTAGTTATTGGCAACTTGTTAAGGGAATCTTTACTGAACCTGGTGCAGGGTTTTAGTGAGAGGAATCATGAAGTATTCTGTAATCTTCACCACACTTTTAAGAGCCCCCCCCCTCCTAGTCTCTAAACAAATAGCTCCCAGAAGAGTCAGAATAGTTGTTGTTAACTTCCTTGCGACTTTATTTTCATTAGGACCTAACAAACTGGTTGGGTCTTCTTCACTATCAATTGTATTTAATGTATCTTAACTTTGGAAAGCTAGTCACTTAGCATGGATGGCCTGGCTGGCCCTTCCCCTTGTCTCCTGTAGACCATTGTGCAGGGGTTCGGTGGGTACTGGTTCCTTGGACTTAAAATACAAGCACTTGGCCCAGAACCTTAGGGACCATATTGTTAGGGCACCTCAATAGATTAAATACAGTACAGTACTAAATCTTGCTTTGAGAAACCTAAACAGGAAAAGAAAAAATGTATTTTAGAAAGATTTAATGTGTTTAATTTTTTCTAATATCACTTTTCAGACTATAATCCCAGATGTGAAGCCATTATCAGCTTCAGAAGTTCATATGGGTGAAGATTCTGGTCCTGAGAGTGGTGAGGCAAGTGATTTTGAGGGCCCTGAGCCTCCACCAGCCATGTATCAAACAGTGAAAGAAGAATTGGAGGAGAGAGTAGAGACCAAGCCAAGACGTGAGGTGAGGGAAGTGTCTCCTGTTCCCATCAAACAGAAGAGGCGTTCCTTAACACCAGAAGAAAGTAAGCTTTTCACCATATTGGCATGTAGTGTAGTTGCCATGCCTTTTTAAACATTAAGATCAAATGAATAACATCTGAAGGGAGAATGTATGTATTTTCACATGATTTTGATCATTGACTAGACATTGCATGAGCAAAGGCTTGGACAGAGAGAGTGAGTGGTTGTAGGAATTGTCTTGTTGTAAAATAGTTTTCATAAGTTTTTGTTTTCCAGATATAAATTTAGTAAAATCTCCTAATTTTGAAATACTGTACTCGGGTGTATTTTGCCGGCGTAGATTGTTCTAGTAACTGGTAGTATTAGTAATGGTTGCCCCTTGTGCTTGAGGATGGTGGCTGTAAGCCATTGTTACTAAGGAAGGTGGTATGTTGGGCAGAAGTCCAGGCTTAGTACAGTGTGCTGTATCCACACTGTCCCTATCAGGTGCCTTTAGAAGAAATTGGTAAGTTCATTAGTTGGAATATATATTTAGGGATTTTACTTTAATGTTAATAGTTTATATTATTCCCATACCACTTTTACATTAAAGGGAATAAAGTAATGTTGATTGGTTAACAGACTTTAGAGTGGTTGATCCTATCTTTAGTGTCATAAACTTTGAATGCCAAGGTGTACAAGTGCTATACTGTGGAAGTTAGCAAGCTCAAGTTTTTGCAGTTAGTATATTTGGCCTTTTTGTTTATAGCTGATGGAGATGCCTAGGTTTAACAAAGTAACAGGTAAAACATATAGTTATTTAGAACCTTGTGGAAGGAGAGTGCTCAAAGCAGAACACACATATTGCAGCTGGAAGAATAAACAAGTGAATGGCAGCTAAGGAAAATGCTCTTGTTTTCTCTTAATTTTAGTCTCTAATTTATTGTACAGTAGTAGTAAAAGGCTTAAAGTGAAGAGGGAAACATGAAAGGAATTACCTTTAGTATTTTACAATTATTTTAAGGGACAATTTGGTTGTTAATTATACTTTCTTGTTGTGCTGGATAATTATTTCTATTTAAATTTTATCAGAACCAGTCCGCAAGATTCACATGTTTGAGGGGCCTGTCCCAAGCAGCAAGCCAGCTATTGCACCAGCACGAAATCCACCATCCAGAGTTGTGTATGTTCAGAACCTGGTGCGCCCATTCACCATTAACCAGCTCCGTGAACTACTTCAGAGGACTGGACGACTGGTTGAAACTGGATTTTGGATAGATAATATAAAGTCCAAGTGTCTTGCAATGGTAAGTTTGTTCTAAATTAATACTTTTACAAATTCCAGTCTCTAGAAATTATTGATAAATTTAAATACTTAGAGATAATGAATTGTGTATTTGCTGCCATCGGTTACATTTTATGCATGTTCGTCATCGACTAATAATTTGAGTTGCATGTTAGTCACAAAATATTGGTGGAAGTCATGAATTTTGTTTTTTCTTCTATGAAAAGGCATTAAAAAATAACAGGCTTTTAAAGTAGATATATGAAAATGTATGAAGAAAAGGGAAGATTGCAAACATAATGACAGTTGAATGAAAGATCGTTATCTGAATGGGTTTTCATCATATAAATGTTATCTGCTGTGTCATTAATACCGAAGATTTTTTTCTACCTTGCTCAAATTTTCATTTCAGTATGAAACAGAGGACCAGGCCCAGGAGACTCGTGTGGCCTTGCATGGTGTCAAGTGGCCTGTCTCCAATCCCAAGAATTTGTTCGTTGACTTCTCTACCGAGGTATGGGAAAAATTATCCTCGGCTTTTTATGTAATATTCTAGGAAATTGTCTTTAATATTTATAGTTTTTGAGTAGTTTAGGCTTATGTTTCCCTAAGAATAAGCAGGTTTTACAGTTTACATAATTTGTCAGGGCTTTCATTACTCTGTATTTCATTGAGGATTCAAGGAATTTAGTAGAGAAACTTCATTGATTTATTATTTTGGAAAGTGTTGGAGCTTATATTTAATGTTATAATTTTATACACTGAACACAGGAGGAAATGAAAAAGAGAATGGAAGATTTTGCTCCACCACCTCAAAAGGCGATTGAAGACCGACGTGATGATAGATGGCGGGTGAGTAAAGAGGCTTGGATTGTTGATGACTGTTTTTAATAAAGTTCATTGATTATGTTCCAAAACCTGGGTAAAGTAATGACTTTATAACCAGCTTTCAATTTTTTAAGTTAGGAGATATTTGTATCATTCAGTTCATGGCTGTTCGTGGTTGCTTCGTCAAAAAACAGGATTGTTGAACAGTTTTACACATTTTTAATGGGAATTTATTTATACATTCTCATTTTTTTTCTATAATGTATTCCTACACTATACAAGGCAACATTTACTTGTCCACTATGTGCAAATTCTCAGTTAGTTTCTCTACTCTGTATTTGCACTTACACACCCCACTTTTGCCTCGCACAAAAAGATGATATTAATGTCCAGTCATAATATATAAGATTTTTCTTGACAAATCCTTGCTATATTCATACAAGTGACTGACCTCCCATCTTTTGCACATGTACTGTACATTCTTTAGTTAACTTTTGTATAATCTCGTCTTCAGCGAGAGGGACCAGTACGTGAGTGGGATTTGGCCAAGATAGGAGAACGTTCACCTGGAGAGAGAGAGAGGGAGAGAGAGAGACTCCGACGAGAAAGGGAAGAAGAAAGACTGCGTGAACGTCACAAAAGCCGTAGTCCAACTGGACCTGAAGGTATGTCTTAGTTTAACTGTGTAGATTGTTTCGTACTTAGTCATTATCAATTGTATTTAGTCATCTTTAGTGATAGAAAGTTACTTATAAATGAAAATGTATTTGTGTGAAATAGATGAAGAAGCTATATATTTTTCCATGCTTTTGATTGTTAGTAGAAATGAATAATGCACCCATTTGAATACATTATAGGAGACCAAAATAAGAAACCAGAGGAGCCTCCCGCCAAGCTTTTGGATGATTTATTCCGCAAAACCAAAGCTCAGCCAGCAATATACTGGCTTCCTTTAACTGCTGAGCAGGTTAGTTACACCTTAACTGTTGAGGTTTTACTAGATGTTGTAGAAAATCTGAGTGACTTTTGCACGATAATCTTTTCAAAGGATTATTAAGTTTAAGGTTCCATTTTACTGTGGGTTTTTGGATAGATTCCTTATAATATCCAAATGTATTATTCTATACTGATTTATACAGTAATTATCTTGTGGATATTTACTACTGTAAAGACCAGTACTATCTTTTAAGGTCATTCCATGGAATGCTCCCCAGTTTTTCTAATCATAAGTACTGGTGGTACATTCTAAATGGCCTTGCATCATAGGTTGTGGGTGGGTGTCTCAGATAGATCATATTTTCTAACATGTAGATGAATTATAGATTGCTGAAAAAGAGGCACAACGTCGCCAGAAGATGGCAGAGTTAGAGCGACGCCAGGCAGAGATGAGAGCTGCTAGAGAAAAGGAACGTGAAGAATGGGAGCGCGTAAGAGCCGAGCGCAAAAAAGAAAGAGAAAAAGAGAGAGAACGAGAAAAGGAGAAGGAGAAAGAACGGGAAAAAGAGAGGGAAAAAAATTCTCGTAAATCCCGATCGAAGTCTAGATCACGCAGGAGAAGCAGATCACCAAGAAGATCTCCTCGCAGATCTCCACGCAGGTCACCCAGGCGATCATCTGCCAAGAGATCACCTAAAAGATCACCCAAGAGGTCTCCAGGGAAATCTCCACGAAGGTATATACAGGATCAAAAAAAGTAAAATAAAATATAAATATCCATTTTACATAACTTCCCACTGGCTGAAAATTACTTCACCTGTTGCCTTAAATATCAATTTATATGAAACTTTTTCGTTATTGGTCATAAGCATCGGTATTGTATGAAGTACTAAATAAGAGAGTGACTTTCCTCTTCTCTCCCTTTATTTTCCTTTTCTCTTGCCACCCTTTTTCTTCTCTATTCCTTATGACTATCTACAATTTTCTCCACTTTGTTACCCTTTGACAATCATTGTTTTGGCAATTATTTTTGTACTTTTTGTTTCCCATCTTCCTCATTGTTTCTGATATATTGATTCTTGATTTAATTTTTTAATTAACTAGCATTTTTCCTAAAAGATCACCACAGCGGCAGCGACGGTCACCCAGTAGGGAATCTCGTAGGTCACGACGTAGGAGCCGAAGCCGCTCACGATCCCGCAGCTGATTCCATGGTGGCATTAAATGAGGGGAGCCGATGACCTTGTGGAGGATAACACGGAGTGTGCATTGTCCAGATTGCTGTGGGCACAGTAGCACAAGGAGAGTTTGCTCAACATCATGGAACTAAAAACAAAACACAAGATGCTTCAACACTGCAGCTACAGCAAGCCAGCTCTCGCTACTCCCAAGGTTACTGTTACGTCCGTCTGTGCTATCTCCCCTCCAACGTCCGCTTCCCAACTCCATCCTGTCGTCCTTCCCAAATGCCCATTCTCTCCCTCCTACAGGTATTCCCACTCAGTGCTCTTCTGATTTTAGGTTTAACTTTCACTTTTTCATCAAGATCCTTGTCGATGACAAAGCTCAGGTGGAATTAGTTGTAGGAGGATGCTTTGGAGGTCAAAGTAATTTTCTATTATTAAGTTCTTGTTTTTTGAGCCATTGTAGGACATCTTGTCATTGGTTTGTATCCATTGGGTAAGTATGTTTAATTCATTTTACCTTTGATTAGTTAGTAGGTTAGTTTAGGGTAGATGATGCTTATTTTTGTTTTATTTATGTATCAGAAGAGCATTGGGTGGTAAGGGAAGTGTTGAAAGCGTTATTGGTGAAGAGATCCACTGCGCTGTATGGGCGGGCAACAACGATGATTCTCCAGAGTATCGGCGGGAACTTCGATGATCATCTCTAGAGACCGGCGTATGTTTTAATGCTTCCTCATGGAATGCCTTTCTCCAAAGCTGCATAGCTATGTACCATGGCTCAAAATGCCAAAGCTTGTAAGAGATGGTTATTGTTCTTTACAAGCCTACACATACAGTGATTGTGACTGGACTGTACCTGTGTCCGTGTTAAGAGTTATTTATGCAACAATGTGGTGTTTTCTGTTTTGTGTGATGCCACAGACAGTGTAGCAGAACACTGAAAACCAGTGTCTTAACGTGTACGATAAGGTGGGAAATGTGATATACCTCCCCGTATAGACGTTGAAGTGCAAGCAAAGTACTGCTGAGGCCAAGTGGCGCAATATAAAAGAGCCGAGTTTGTTGACAGTTCTCACATAATTATTGCACCTGATTATGGTAGAAAAAACATATCCAGGCAAAGAAATGCCTTGTGCAGATGTGAATTGGACTAGTAAAATGCAGTAGTTCGCATCTAAATCACACCTCTCTGTACAGAGAAACCTTTTTATCCTGTGTGTGAGGAGTACAAAATTTCTAAGTGATTATTTGCAAGCCCCTGTCTTATAAATATATGTTAAGGCAAATGTCTGGTGTTATCACCAGATAGTTTTCCCAATTGTGGTAATTAATATAATGTGTATTAATAAATCCGCTTGTCTTTTTTTAGTATTTTGATGTTAAATCTTCAGTGAGTTTATGCACTAGGTTTTTATTGTTTGAGAAATTCATAATTTCTTCAGTTGTGATGACTTATGGGTGATTGTTTATAATTGAAAGTCATTAAAACTACACCCTTCAAATTAGTGTTTCTCTCCTGTCACACCAAAATCTAATTCATTAAAAGATTGGTAGTGAAGGAAATACAAATAAGAGATGGACTTTATTCCTGACATTTTATCATAGGACTTTGTAATTACAAAAGTCTTGTGATGAAACATCAGGAATAAAGCTCCACCTCTTAGTTGTGTTTCCTTCTCTACCATCTGTCAACTTTGAACAATGTTCATGAAAAGGTTATAATAAACAGTAAAAGTTTTCATCAGTTCCCCAGGAGTCAAGGACGGATATAAATAGAGGGAGAGTCGTCAACCTCTGAACCCCCTCGTTATCTTGCACATGTTCTCTGATATAAAAAAATAAAATGGAGGCAATTTTCCTCCTTAACCTGATAACAGCAACATACATTCTCGAATGATAATTTAAGCGTACGAGTGGGAAATACATTCTGGAATTCATTGTGTTTTGAATGCAGTGTACGAAATCCCAAGTTGAAGTATACCTGTATATGCAAGTAAATCACTAGTTGCGTGTGATCTAGGTATATGCTGATAACCACAAGGAAAGAAGAAAACACAAAGTTCCCAAGCGCTTATGTGTAATTCACATCTTCAGGGGTGAGTACAGACTGTACTCACACCTGAAGATGTGAATTACACAAAAGCATTTGGAAACTTTGTGTTTTCTTCTTTCCTTGTGGTTTTCAGCATATACCTGGATATATTTAAAATTACGAATGAATGCACGTATTCCTGTAAAGTAATATATATACAGATAGACCCCGACTTATGACTGCTTCGACTTACGACCGCCGCAGTTGTGACCATTTTTTTTTATCCAAATGACACGCGCATTTTCTATACCGAAACGTTTCCAGTTAATGTAGTCTCCATGTATAATTAGAAAATTATGGGGGCCCCATGTGCATTCAGCTGACTACATTAAAGGTAAGTGCACAGTTACACTTTTTTTAGTATGGACTGTGAAAGTATGAGATCTCTATACCTTGGTCAGCCTTCACTATTGATACGCCATTTTTATTCTGTTGTAAATTCGTTTTCAAGTAGTCCTATGTTGATCATGACCAGATATTTGAAAGGCTCCACATCCTCAATATTTTGTCCATTCAATAAGATGAGTCCTTCCCAAGTATGGTCTGTTCTCATGACCAGTTGCTCTAAGTTACTGAAATAATAGTACTGGTATAAATTTATTATTGTAAACAACTTTGTGATCAACAACTAACTCATGTGTAAAGTAAAATAAAATTAATATGAATCAACATGTCATTCAAATACAGTAGTACAACATTAAAAGTAACTTGGTGTATATTATTACTTCTAGATGATCATTATACAAGATGTGACAAAGGGAAAATCAAGGGATGTTCTCATATTATACAATGAATACAGCTCTGCTCTCATTCATTCCATGGCACAATATGCGCTAGCTAACCTTAAGATTAATATATTTATGATGGTCATGGGTGCAGCAGCTCTGCTCCCAACATTAACCAAGATCTACGAGTCCAGGCACCAACTGAAAGGAAAAAGATATTCTGTGTTATCATCAGAAGTTATATGAAATCCCCCCATCTATAATATTCGTCTTTAACAAAGGTGATTTATTAAGACCACCCCCCCATCTACGATGTAAACAATCCTTATGAATGATGGTCATCGTCTTGCCAAAGCACTTTATACTGTAGTCACAAAAAACATAGCAAAAATCACTTCTCGGTCACCAGACAGAGTACAATGTAATAACACCGATACTGACCGATAATCATTGACTTACACGATTGGAGCGATGTGCCTTCACCATGGTACAGAGTTTGTTACTGTAGTGCACCTGTGGCCGATAGAGGGTGCTGGACAGCTTGTACCCAATTTACGAGACAGTTCGTACCCATATACTGTATATATCACGTGTAGATCCACAATGGAAACATGGACAAGGTTGCTTTTAATATATGAATAGCAATGTATTTTTTAAAAATGTGTTTATTTGACCTTAACTTTAACAAATTGAGGCTAAATACATCTGCGCTCTCTCTCTCTAAAGACTCATACTTGTCTTGTTTCCGTGTGGTTGTGCCTTTTTAAACAAAGCTCTCCAGAGTATCATTAACATAACTAATGGTACAGTAGGTTGGGATATATCGTGCCTTTATATAAAGACTTTCTTATATTGCGGCTACCAAAATTAATGAAATTTTCCTATATACAGTATAGAGATAATATTTTTTTATTTCGCGAGGGAAATCAGGCAGAAAATATTTCAAATGTACCGCCATGGCAAACAAATGCGTTATTTTCTCACCAGAGGCGCCACCGTGGCTGCTCGCTCACATATTCACACTCGCCCGCTCAGTCTTTACGAGTGAGACAAGAAAGCAGCCAACTGCTGCAGATTACGACTTCTAAGGCGAGTGTAAATGGGTTACTAGTGACATGTGAAGTGAAAATAATGGAAAGCTTAATGGAAAAGATTTAATACTGTAACTAATATTTTTGGTTTGTTGGTTTATGATTGTTAAGTGAGGGTGGCAGTGTGTCGTCTGTTGTTCTCAGGATGACGCGTCAACTGCTGAGTCTGGTGTTCATTGATATTGAAACAGTCTGTTGTTCCCGAGTCTAGCGTTCATTGGTGCTTTAGTTAGTAAGAAAATGAACTCGTCAAGTTTAGTCACTTTTTTTAGCCTCCAGAACCTAACCTTATTTTCCCCATTGATTACATGTAATTATATATAGCAAACATCGTTGGACCCTATCTCGCGATATATCCCGACCCTACTGTATTGGTGTTGCTACTTATCATCGGTGTTTTTTTTTACCATACAGTGAGGGGACATCACTAAAGTTCACATTGTACTTTGTTTTGGTGATTGTGAAGTGATTTTTGCTACGTTTTTTTGTGACTAAAAAGGGCTTTGTTTTGTTGTCAAAATGTGGGCAGTGGCAGCCACTATCACTGTTTTTACATTTTGCAATAAGTTCTTTTGCTTTGTTTTTGTGACTGAAATGAGCAGTTTCTTAATGAGTGTTGTTTAATTGTTTTATAATGCTAGTAATATTTTATTTTTTTTCTTCAGTGATATATGCAGGTGTCTGATTGGCCAGGAACCTATCCATTTGAACCCTATTCTTTACTATTCCCGATCTATGATATTTTGACTTGCGATGGGTTCTTCAGGAACCTAACCCCATCTTATATAAGGGGATACCTTTACAGTATCTTCACTTGCTATGTTACTCATTGGTTAAATCCGCCTACACATTTATAACATTATTCCTCTAAACTTCTTCACACCATTAAATTTACTATCTGTCAACTTATTCTTGATACATTGTTAAATACTACTGTATATAACACTAACTTTCTATGTTTATACAGGTACCTCCTTCTCCCAGTCAATGCAATGCTTATTATCTCTCATATGAATGAACAGAGCATTGGATATAGCATTAGGACAGGTCAGGAATCCAGTGTTTTGTTCATTTATGAGAGATAAAAAGCATTGCATTGACTGGGATAATGCCTCAATAATACCTTGTAATTCAATCATCAGTAGGATCATTTTAGAATCTAGTCTCATTAAGCATACCGAATCTGTCAACATGAATTTGAGTAAATGGTGTGTACAAACTGGACACGTTTGTGATTCACAAGATTTGTAACCAGGTGAAAGGGTTGGGTCACTGAATATGGTGGACACCTGCTGTCCCTAAGGACTTGGTCTCACTCTCCTTTAATGTGAATAATTAATCTTTAGTTTGCACTCACCCCTGAAGTTGTGAATTACACGAAAGCACTCAGGAACTTTGTGTTTTCTCGTTTCCTATATATTGACAGCAAGAAGACCTTCTCTTTGCATGAAAGGAAAGATGTATGGAGCCAGCATGAGAAGTGTGTTGTTGGATGACAGTGAGACATGGGGAGTTAAAGATAACATGTGTAGGCTGAGTGAGCAGAAATGAGAATGGTGAGATGGATGTATGATGTGACTTTGAGAGACAGGAAACCCTATTCAGATTATTAGAAAGATTTTGTGTAAAAGAATGCTGAGATGCTTCAGATATGTGGAGAGAATGGAGGGAACAAATTGGGTCAAGAAATGCATGAGTTTGAATGTGGAGGTGGGGAGAGCTAGGGGGTAGATCAAGAATGGCATGGGGAGAGGTTGTGAGAAATGACCTCAGAGATATGAACCTGACAAGAGAGGTTGCTAGAAACCATGTAGCTTGAAGAGTTGTAATCAGGTAGTCATGGCTAAATGATACAAGTGGGGGAAAATGGTCGTAAAACAGTGATGATGGGTATGGTTTTTACCCTATTTGCATAACTTTACTTTTCCCTAAAGACTTAGTGAAAGCCATGAAGCTTCACATGCACAAGTAACTTAATAAGGAATACATAATCAGGTAAGTAATGTAAATTTTTTGCATGTTTAAAACTTGGTAATTTCTTGGATTACTTCCATTCATTAGGTTACCCATCATGGTCAATCTGCAACATGTTTGTTACAAGGACACTTTCTAGTTCCAAGTATTTGTATGAATCCCACACTGAAACCTCCCCAACATTAGCTACTGTGCTACATTTATTAGAAATTATTTGGTTTGACACCCACAGCTTTGCCTTTTCTTGTACAGTATATCATAGCTGTTACACTTTTAATGAAAGTACTTTACTACAGTGTCTTGTTATAAACTAGATTCAGACACTATAATTTACACCTGTGATAAATTAAAGCATGAATCATAATCTCTTGTAGCTTGACTATCTTTTCACGTATTTCATAAAGTGTACACTCAAGTTTCTCTCTAGACTAATTTACTGGATAAGAGTTTAACTATCCTGACTCATGTCATGTCATAAAGACAACCTTACCAACATCTACTAGTCCTTCTTCTTATGTGACTCTGCCCATTCTTTGACCTTTTCCCAAAGCTTGGAGGGTTCATCAACTCTAGGGACATCATAGTTCTGGGTGATGTAGATGCCAGCGTACACGCCTGCA